AAAGTAGCCACTATAGCGAACGTAAAACTGCCAGCTATCAAATTGGCTCTTTATCGAATAGACAGATATTATTTCCAATCGAGCCACATAAAATACGCGGTAGGCTACTATTCATGACACGAAAGCGGTTCTAACGTAATCCGCTTAGCGTTTTAAACTATATTACTACCTTGGGAATTTAATAGTTACAACAAACGAGGTAAGTTGCCGATTGTTAGCTCATTATCATTGCACCGGGCGCTGTTCCCCGGCAATTAACGATCAAAAGAGCATCAGTGTTTAGTTAGCGCACGATCAAACGCTTAAATCGTAGAACGGAAGGTGGATGTTACGAATTCACGGTGAAATTAGTTTTGTAGCCGCGGTGTAAGAGGAAATTCGAAGCAGCCACTGAAATATGCAATTGCCGACGAAATGATATTGCTCGTCGAACCGAGAAGTCGAGGAGTCGATCGTTCCTTTCGCGAATCAACTCGAATCCGTCGTCGAAACCGTAGAACGTTTTGGAGTAGGTCGTTTCTCGAAATAATCGATGCTTAGTAGCACGAAGACGACTCGAGAAAGAATTTCGTTGCTCGAAAAAAAAGATATCCACAGGCCGATTACTTTCGACCCATTGCAATCGTTAATGACCCTTCGGAATCGATACTCCTTGTCGTGATCGATTGCTCACGATAATTATCCTCGTTTTCATGGATGCCGATTCCAGTTAGCGAGTTAAAGCTCTCTTTTATTGGCAATAATTCTTTCTCAAGGATTTCATTCTCTGATCTCTAATGTCTCGGTTAGCTTGTTACATATCGAAATCTTCCTGTTTAAAAGCGCTCGTTCTAAAAAGTAATCGCGTTCCGATGTAGCACATTCGTTACGGAAGCTAACTAACGCGCAATCATCGACGCCCGTCGCGACGCCTTTGTCATCCGTGAACTTCCCAGATCGTAATTTTGTCGTAGATTAACTTTCCCGGTTCCCGCTTCCTCTGTCTGTGTGGGAAAACTTTTAGTCCAATCATTGGCACGGAACTCGCTCGAAATGAGACGGACATTACCTTTCACCGAATACTTTCCATCCTGCTTTGTCTCCTGTTCGAAATTAAAATTGAAATTGCTCCACGTTATTTCTTTCATCTTAGGTAATTGCTACCAAATTGCCAGTCTATTCAATACCACTGTTCACCACCGCTGACCAGTGTCAAATTAATATAATAGAATTAGATCTTTTTAGAAAGAAACTCTGTCGTCGTCGCTCTCGGCTCGATAAAAATAATTTGAACGATAGGGTTAGACCCTTTCCATCGTAGAAATCGAACGCGTTACACCTCCACGATCAACGACCTTTCTTTTCCTGGAGTTGCCACACCCTAAATGTCTCTAGATACAACGATGCTTTCGACCGTCAGAAATCGTTTGCGGCATCGTAATCAAAGTGTCCGTGGCAGTAGAGCACGGTTCCGGCAAATGAAAGTTCGGTGGTTTCCTAGAACGATAGACCGGCGGGGGCGGTTTAGCAAAAAGACGAAACGGGCTGGAAAGGATGGCTGTTGGCAGCGGTGGATGGACGCGGTTTGTTTAAACGAAATGACGCAAGGCTCGTAGATATACGCGGTGGGAAATGCAATTTCTCTCTGGTCTGCTCGACCGGCTACAATCAACCCCAACCATCCCGGAGGGTCTTTGTCCTCTACCTTCTCTTTTCATCGTCGTGCCAACCCTCGCTTACAACTCGTCCCTAAACGAAATCTATTCGCCGTTCACCGCGATATGCGGATTACCTCGCAAACTCTAAAAAAAAAGACAAAGGAAGCTAGGCGGTCGGGGACGAAGATTGAAATATCGTTTCCAATGGAGCTCTTTTCTCCTTCGCGCTTCCATCTTCTCCTTCGATTATATCAGGACGTATCCTTCCTCGATCATACCATTACCGTTCCTGGCTCTCTTCCTTGTTTCGTATTTGATTCGTCGCATGTACCTCTCTTTCGTTTCTTTCATACCGGTAATCCCTTATGGTTATTTGGAAGAGATCTCGTTAAACATCGAGGTAAGACTTCCATTCCGGTTACCTGATTACGTATTAGTTAGGAACCGCATCGCGAAACCAGTTCGAATCGGCGTAATTTCGGTTAAAATTGGAAATTAAACGTTCGAAGATCGATACGGTTATTATTATCGGGCGGTCGATAACTCGTTATAAATTGTATTACAAATAGAGGATCACTCGAACAATCGTGATGTTTGATTGACTGTAAAAATCGAGGCATCAAGAGTGAAATGAACTGACAGAGTCTGGCATCGATTTTCGTTTCCCGTTGGCCAGAAACGCCAGCCAACCGCTACCCTCCCGGAACTGTCCGGTTTGGTAATCAACGTACCAAGAGGGTTTAATCGTGACCGCGGCGGCTTTATTTTCAGCCTGACCCGAACTTGAATCCTATCAGATTGCCTCATCGTTGCGGAATACACCGGTCGCCAGCTTAGCGGTTACACCGTGACTCGGATGTCCTGTAACTCTTTGAAGTTGAAACGCCTACAACCGGATCCGATTGGTTTGTTCTTGGTTTCAGCTTGATTAGATTCTCCAATGAACTTTCACGGTGACCCTCCTCGTTTCACCTCTTAACTCCCGGACGACGGATGATGGGTCATTCAAGAGCCGGCTTATTCGAGTCGAGACCGTGACATCCGCGCGATACCTATCCTATTTGTCTCGTTCTTTCTGAACGCCGCCGATCGAACGAAATCGGAATTTAAAGGTGTTACCTACGAAATCGAATTCGATGCCCTTTAACGCTTCTTAGGCCGCATAAAATCGCAATATCTGCTCGTTTACCCGTGTTCGGTGCAGACTTCTTGGCACGATCTTAGAAGGTCGTGATTTCTCGATAAATTCAGCCCGAGGACCAAAGAATCCTTAGCTCGCGAGTTCGTAGACTCTCGCCAGGGTTGTATGCGAATTTCTCCAGTCGATATGCAAATTTCAGCTTGGCGGAGTCGTCGAGAGCCAAATCAATGGAAGGCTATTACCGAGAGACGGATTATTCGGTGAAATTCGCGGAAAGTAATTAATGCTGGCTGACGCGAATTCAATTCGCCCATATAAATATTTTAATCGTTGGTTAACGAACTTCCCTCCGACGATCGATCGATGAAATCACCCGACCAATCTCCCGCCCTCTCTTTTTCCACCGCGTTGTCGTGGATCAAGTTTTCGTCGAACCAGCTAAAGAACAAAGTGATTCCTAACGGAAGAGGAAATTTGTTTTCCGGAAATTCGTTCGAGAAGTTTGTACAGAACATCAAAGTTTCCTTAGACACGGAAGAATTCATCGAACATTTTTCCCTCCTTTTCTTGGTCCAAGAAAGACAACGCTCAACTTTCAGATTTATCGTTCTACATGATTTCTCATCCGTGTTCTTCCGCTTCTTTCGTTCCTCATCCTTTTTATTAATATCCACGGCTAAGGAAGTACTTCGGGAAAGAACGCAACCACCGACGTACAAGTAAATTCCTTTTCTAATAAACGCTGCCGCTGGAAGATATATTACCAACAAAGTGGCGCTGCTGCTGGAATTTGTTCAGAGCTTTTTCTGCATTCTTCCTGCGTTTTCGGTTCGCGTTACGTACTTTCCGTTCAAATTGAGAACGCCAAACTTAACGTTCGAGCTTAGAACACGGAAGATCGAAAGTTTTCACTCGGCGAACAACGATGCATATTTCAGAATTCATTTTAACGGGGTCTCATTTAAAGAAAGACACGCTAATAGCTATGAAATCTCAAAAGCTGGTTTTACCGGGAATTTTTTATAACCGAGAGAGCCGGTCACCTTCAACGAGAAATGAAATATTTAAGAAACGTTGATCCTCGATTAAAAATTCCCTGAGAGAATCGTGATTCTCCGAGAAGAAAATTTCGAGCAAAGATCATCGGGACGATAGAAGTTCGGCACCGCAAAAGTACGATAATAGAAGGTCACGACTTACGGAGGAACAGGATACGGAAGTAACGTACGCTTCAAAGGAAAATCTACGTTGACTGTGTTAGCTAGAAGTCAAAGGTCGATCGAAATAAAAAGATTCACCGAGAAAACTTTTCGAGCGCCTTGAGCCGCTTTTACGGTTTACATCAAAGAATCTTTGCTAGTGATACTTCGTTAAAATATCTCACTTTGCCAAGTATTTAATAGGAAATTTATTTGCAACTTCGCTTCCCTCGCGCTATAAAAGTTCCGTCAGAAAGAGGGAAAAAAATTGGGACGAGATTTCTTCATTTTGCCAATGGTCGCAAGATTGTCACGATTGGATCTTGTCGGAGGGCAAGCTTGTTAGAGGGACAAGGCTGATGAAACGAAATCGTGAAGTGTAACGTTAATCAATCTTCGCGGTTGATAAGATGAATTGCACCAGGGGAACAGCGTCGGACCGCACGATTAATTAGACATCGTATACCTACTAGGATAGAATCGTATTCGCGCACGTGTGCGATTGTGTCGTCTCTAAAGGAAACATTGATTTCACGATTCGAGACACGGGATTTGATCTTTCGATGCAACGAAGGTAGATTTCTAAACGGAATCAAGGTTAATATTTCTTCGCTGCCGTTTCTTCCCCTCGAAGAACGGAAACGCGTGTATCCAGGGGGTAAAACAAGCGGAACACGTGCCAGGTTCGTTATGTGTTTCGCGATCCATCGATTTGTCTCGTCATCGTTCACTAGGAACAGATTCGATGATGGATCATCTTCCCACGGTAGATTGATCGCGATGTCGCGTACGACAAATTTTATTTATTTTCCAATTCAGATGTACAGGTCTCAAAAGCGATACCGCTTCGTCGTGCGAATTTTTTTGTTTTATAAAACTTACAGTTTGCGAGTTGTGTATTATTTTTGACTCGCTCTCTAGAAAATAGAAAGCTATTAAGCTAAGGGTGAATCGACGATTTCTACCGACGCTCAATCTGTCAAAGACACAGAGATTAATACATATTCAACGGTACGCGTTTCTGCGCGCTTCGAATCGCGATGTCGGAATAATATTAGCGAGCGTTCATGCCTGGCGAGAAAATGTGCCAAGTCTCGCGCTTCGAATTCGGTTTCGCGAGCTTTAATCGAGTCGTAGCGAGCGAAAGTTCCGAGCCGATTCAAACAGCGTGGCGCCAGTCGGAAAGCTCTCGAAACTTATTGAATCGTCTTAACAGTCTTCATACAACTCTACCTGTAAACGTTTGAATTTACTCCGAACTTTACGCGGCGCTTTACATATCGTTTCCAAATCTTCCAAATTTTCGAATCCCTAATTTCCAAATTCGACAGGTACGATCCTGCCTGAAACAAAAGCAAAGAATAAGAGAAAGAAGGGTAAATTGGAACCACGTCACGGAGTCTTGTCCACCTCGATCACTATGTATAATGTACACCATAGAGGGAGGCGTGTAAAGGAAATCGATTAACAGGCCAATTTCGAAATTCATTAGCCGATCAAGCTTGAATCGCTGTGGAGTTGCTGCATGCCAACGAGCTGATTAATCGGGACTCGACTCGTGAACTTTCCACGCGTCGATGACACACCTGCACACAGATTAAAATCACCCTGGCTGGCTCGCCATGCCAATCGAAAATCGTCAACCGTGTGGAAATTCGCGAGGTATATGCAAGAAAATAGAACCGAGAATTCGCGATACTCTTCCGACCTGCGCTACTCTGTTCAATTTTAAATTTATTATTAAACACGATTATATCAAGGAACAATGCTGGGTAATTTATTCGTTTTTATTTGTAAAAATCGTACGGTCAGCTCGCGTAAGACATCCGATTGGGTTTACGAGGAGAACGAAATAGGACAGAGTTGTTTTTCGGATGTTGGTTTATTCATTTTAGGATTTGGTGCGGCTGGGATTTGTCAGCCGATTTTCTCAGCTAAAGTTTCCCGGTTGTATTCTCTCCACGGCAATCCGAAGGACTTGATTTATAGCACGGCTTCCTGAACAGAGGACTTTTTAAAAGATTACTCAACGTCCTACAGGATATATCTCCCGCGCTTTCGACCCTGCCAGAAGATTGTTGAAAATTTCTTTTTTAATTTTTAATGGCGCTACGAAGTGTGCCGAAGCAATCGAGCGACAAAATTATCTACAATGTAGATACACAGCGAGAAGATCGAAGGAAGAGAGAGGGAATTCTCGCTTACGTGCACTTAAGCACTCTCACCTTTGAATCTCTAATGAAACTTGTTACAAGTTCCGAGTAGTTGCAACGCGTAAAATATCCGACTTTACTTTCGTGACCGTCGAAACTCTCCCGGACTTTACATCTATGGCGCGTGTAAAATTCAGCCGGTTTCACGAAGTTCCGGCATAAAACCTGCTGAACTTCGTATCGCGGCTTCAACTTTTTTTTCCTAAACACCTTTCGTTGCTGTAGATTTTCCTTTTACCTGCCGACACTGGAAACGAGAGCTCGAATCGTTGTTTACTGTCACTTTAAATAGTTCAACGTAAGGAATAAAGCGTTTTTGTTGACGGGGAATGAAAAGAAATGTTCGAGAGAGAATACGTACTATTCGAGAGGGCAAACATACCGGTGCAAGGCTTTTTCTAGTCGACATAGAAATCGCCAGCAGTTACCATGAAAGGGGAAAGTAAATGTTAAACGATACATTAATATTCGCGTCTCTTCGAAATGCAAGCAGCTAGCAGAATAGTCGATCAAGAGAGTACACGCGATACAAAGATCGTGGAAGGTGACCGGCAGTGCAGGCATAAAATCGAGCTGTTCAACAAGAATTGGAACGCGGCGGTGGTTTTTCACAGTTCAACCAAAGACTCCAATCAAGTCGAAGAGTCCCACGGGACATTGCGGTTGGTAGTTCGAGCAGCTTCCATTACGTCCGACCACTTCAGCTTGAAGAATGTCCTGCGGCAGTGGCTCGTGTCGGGAGCTTGTCGGTCTGAAAACAACGTGCACTGTACATACATCCGGACGATAATAAGGAGCTTTTTCTTGCTGTGTCACGGTGCGGTAACGAGCTTCGCGTAACGTCGAGAGACTCGTTAAAGAACGGCCATTAAATCGCCGTCATGCGATTCTTCCTTCGGGCCAATTTAATGCCGTCCAACTACACATTTGACAAATCAAACGACCCGGCAAACAAATAGGCATAACAACGACCCGCTTAAGCCGTTATTACCGGCCGCGTTTCCAACAGGTTCGTTTAGTAGGATAGCAAAGAGAGTTATTAAGTTTCCCCGTCGTATAATTACGTCGTGACATAACCGCGATGAAATCGTCGTTCGCTGGCTCGAAAGAATCCGTCGAAATAATAGGATTTCGCGAGTGGACTAAGAACCCGGGAAGGGATGGAACCTGACAGAAGAATGGTTTCACCCATATGGAAGCTCTTTTCTGGCAAGTTCATTTTCAACTTGGTAGCTACGGGGAAATTTTCACGACGAGGAGCACGTAGTTGACGGCGAGGACAACGACAATGTGGCGTCACGGGCCGCCTGCGGGCCCTCTTTTTTATTCATACGTCCCTGGCTCGAGAGTTTATCCATCTACTAGCACACGCACGGACACACCGGTTGGGCGCACACGAAAGCGAAGGAAGAGAAGCTTGGCACGCGGGCGAGAAGCGAGAAAGCTAAACCAAATTTGCTTTTCTACACGGTCTGTGTATCTACTCCAATTTGCGCCGCCTTGGACCGGCCGAAAAAACGACTGGCTCCTTTTTTTTTCCTTTTCTCCCTTTTCGCCCTGCGCGAAAGGAGGTCGCGCCGACCAAATTTTCTGCTGAATCCTTTAGCGCGTTTATGCGCCTGCCGAACAATGCCCTCTGTTCGGCTCGCGAACAACGCTGGCTAGTGGCGGTGAAAGAACTCGATAAGTTACTAGACCGTCGGGTATCTCGTATTCGACGTTACCGCGATACGCGAAGAGAGCGTTGTTAATTAATCGAGAAGATCGTTAACCTCCTCGTGGTCGAACGAGCTTAAACTTCGCGACGGAGCGAAAGAGAGACTCGAACGAGGAACTTGAATGAATTTCAACGAATTCGGGGGGTCGGAATGGAGTCGGAGGGCAAGCTGGGGAGGTTATTATCGGATAAGGATTAGGATAATGTAAAAGTTAATGAAGAAACTTACGTGAAGATCACGTGCAGAATATCACCGATGAGGCCGTTATGTCTCAAGGAATGTTCCGAAGTTTCGCAAATGGCCCTCAGCAGACATTCGTGACCCTGATATCCGTAGCTGTGCGGCAAGTCAGGAAGCAAAGTGAAAAAAGAAAAAAAAGAAAATAAAATAAGACCGTCCTCTTTCTGACCTACTATGACTTCTGGGTCACCCTACGTGCTCACCTACACCGAAGCTTTCGCGTTTTCTACACCCTCTATACACAAATGACTGTTACCACTGTACGAGAGTGTAACGTCTCGTTCGGTACAATAGCACTAAACGCGACCATTAAGGTCAAAGGGTTCACGAGCACCGGAATGGAAGATAAAAGCGCCATCAAGGATAATCAGCATCAAACTCACTTGATAAATTTCTTCTCCACCAGTTGATAAAGCGTCGCTCTGTTCAAGCTGCGCCTCTTTCGTCTTCCTTCGCCGGGATCGAACCATGGGTCGCTCACGTTCACTGGTAAATTGTAAGTGGCTTCGAAAAAGTCTGCTATGGACACTGATTTGTACGGTTCATCCAGCGGTATCGCCAACGCGATGAATATCTGCAAAGTAAATTTAGCCATTGTTCTTCAATTTCGAACCGAAGTCGATTACCCATCGTACACGCTTTACGCAGAAATTATCCGATAAGACCACTCACCGCGTAAGTACTTTCCTCCGGAAACGCCATGATATCTCTCATGGGTCGATGGAGGACTTCCGCGAACTCTGAATTCAAAAATTTCGAAGCAGTTTGTTGGAGCATCAGCGCCAGATTGGCCATTAAAAGTCTGCAAAAGGTTCAGCTTTCGTCACATTGAAAAAATTCGATGAAAAATGTAGAGAAAAGAACGTTACGTAAACGCGGTACGACCGCAGCGACGAATATCTATATAAAATTATGTCGCGGTTGATAATTGCAAACTGTTAATTAAAGTTTTAAATTAGCAGGCACACAATGAAATTAAAACTTTTATCGCGGATAGAATGAAAATTCATCGTTTGATCCCATCTCGCGTGAAATTCGTTCGTCAAAAACCTGTTAATGACCGATAACCAATTTAAACTTAATCAATGAACGTACAGAAGTTCTTCCTTAGAACTCTTCATGTTAGCTCGGAGAGAAAATACGAAACACTGAGAGTTCGTTCTGGTTCATCTTCGTTGTGCAAACCGGTTCTTTGACGATGTTAATTAATAAATACCTGCACGGAGGGAGATACAGTTATAAAATTAGAGCCCGTTCGCGTTTATAGAGGCAATTAAAAAATTGCGATTAAGCAATCGACGTAGCGAACGATCGAACGAAATAATGGGCAACTATAATCGAGAACGTCAAATAACGCTTGCAACGTATAACATTAGCCGCGAATAATCTTGCGCGGCGGTAAAAGGACGTTACGTGGCAGAAATATGGATGGTGTAAAGGTGTTTCGAGGCGACGTAATTGGTATAGTGGCTGGGGATCTAGTTTGCCACGAAAAATGCCAAGGTTCGAGGTCCAAAGGGGCAGAATCCATTTATCTCTTCGTTTTACACCCCTTCTGGCTACGATGGCATCTACGGTGCGTGTTCGTGCCACGAGTGTCGCTTCTAAATTCACTCGATACGTATTCGCTGATATTAATTCGCTACCCTTACGCTTCGATTCAAAACTGGCTAGTCAAATTTTGAAACGAAGGAATTTCATATATCGGAAAGCCTCGCCACATCGGGGCTGCGAGGAATTTTCGCGCGACGCTGCAAATATTACATAACACAAATTTTTTCCTGCTAGAAATTCCTACAAATTGTGTGACACGAGCTAAATAACTCGTACTTCGTTCGCTTTTCAGCGGACCTAATTTATGGAGGGAAACAGTTTCTTGTTGTAGGGTTAAATTTTTAAATAAAAACGATAAGTCTTTTTGTCTGTACGTACAAAGGGAAAAGGAGATCTTTCAAACGTAACCATATTCCCTTTGTTCCAACGTGGTATTAAAAACGCACGCGAAAAGAAAAGCGATTTTCTCTTCTTGTCAGCGTTTTTCTCCTCCGTAATCCTGCAAACAAACTTAATGCGCTCTATCGAATCGCAACGAGGACGGAAGTTAATTGCCCCTTTTCTGAAATCACGAACAACCACCATCGAACGCATTCTTCTCCCTTCCTTTATGTACCTTGAGTCCGTCGTTCTCGTGTTGCGGTTTTATCATCGTTTTCGATTCGTTAAAGCGAGGCGTTATCGTGGCCCGTGTGCATCGATGTAAAACGCGAAAAGAGAATTTAAAAACGAAGAATAATTACCGTCCGAAGTGGGCTCATTTACGTACGCACGGTTTAACCTACGGCCAAGCCAGGCCGTTTTCAACCCCGTGGCCCACTCGGCTTTTTTACCCGTTTCAAGGAAGTTTTTTAATCACCGCCACCCAGAGCCTCCGCGGATATCTGACGCGGAGGATCGTAATTGCATTTCAAAACGGTGGCCGGTTACGCGTGGAAAACTTTCCCGACTGACTTTCGAAACCTTGACGCTCGTGGAATCGTTTGAAAGCGTTTCGACGATGAATCGACGCGAATTAAATTCCATCTCGAGCACGGTTCGCGGCGAGAAGTGGCCTCCCTGTCAAACTTTCATAGCGGACGGCTGCTACAGTCATGCAAGATGTTCCTCTTCCAGTTCATACGAATTCCCTGGTCCATGCGTTCTTCCGTTTCCTACAAATTATCCTATGCATCGACTCCTACGTTTTCACTCGACGGTGGATAACTAAGGGGTAAAAGTTACCAGCAATTCATTAACATTCAGATGGTGGGTCAGCGTTGAAAAGAGCAGGGGAGAGTTCATTGTGAACTCGCGTTATTCCTGTTTAGAGGCGTACACGGATCGTAATTTCGACGCGGCGCCTTTGAACAGATTTTCCCGCGGCCTCTGAGGATGGACCAAGGGAACGTTACATCTCTATCATTAAAATTAGAATGGTCGACGCTCAGAGGAAATTACAGACCGCTGAGAACTTCCTACGTACCATTGAAACTCGACGAAAATCTAACAGCGTGGTTGCACGCGAAACGCGAACGAGAAAATTCCGAAAAATTTCACCTGGTCACAATTTTTTTAATCCCAACTTTCTTCTCTCCCTTTTCATCCTTTTTCAAACTCTCGAATAAATATCGCTTCGCAAATTTCAATATCGCCGCACGTTTCAATTTTTATTAAATGCATCTTTTCACCTTAATCCTTCTTCGGACTTTGAAGTTTACTTCCGTAGAGCCATTGTTTTTTGTTTTAACATCTATTAAAATATGCTTAGCTTCCAGTAAGCCTCCGTGAATAATATTCCGAACACTCTGCGAGCTAATAAATCCTGGTTGATATTCATCGACACGTAAGGAGCATCGAGTTCGATTATTCTCGGCGAAGAAGAAGGAGCAGACATTAATTCATGGGAGTTTTTTTACGTGGATTATGTAGATCGAGTTTTCTCGCTCGGCTCGGATATCGAGCATCCTTAAAATGTGCCAAATACTGTAAAAAATGTAACGAGCTGGCTTGAAATTCGCCGAACCGACTCTGACAGCCTAATTTTGTCGTCAACGGTCAAGGAAATAATCAGAGTAATTTTTTTTACGTTCCTGTGTTCTATCGATGTCCCGTGGTTACACAGTCTCATGAATATTTCAATTCTCTTCGAATCGATATGCGTTCAAGAAAAGAAAATGTTTGGAGAGATCGATGCTCGATGTTTTTACCGATGAAATTTCAACTGAATATTTTTAAACGTCAAACGAACGATGGTGAAAAAGGAGAAAATAAAAGAACGTAATATCGTGATCGTTAACAGGTTACAGTTCGATAAATATTAGAGTGAAATTAAGAACATCTTCCGTAGGGGGAGGTCTTTGACAAAGCACGAGGACTGATTTTTTTCCACGCGAGTTCCTGCTACTCGTCAGCGCATCGATCCAAATCTAGCTCAGAATTACAATTTATAATCGCGCGTATAAATCAAGAAACGAATAATTTTTATTTCTGGGACGTTATTCGTGCGCTCGCGGCGTTAACAAAGAGAAGGAAAATTTGATATTTTAAATTACCGCCGTGAAATGATAGTCAGGAACGTCTTTGAAATTTGTCTCGTTGATAAATGTATTAACTCGCTGGCAGAGTCTATACGAAAAGCATTTATCGTATCAGAGATGGTTCCAGCATGAACTACACGCTACTGAAATGGTGAAACTTCGTCGAAGGAGAGAAGAAACGCGACACATTCTATCCCCCTAAAGAAAAAGTAACAGACGCATCTGCGGTGAATAGGCACTTCGTCCTGGGGAGGAAAAATGGTCTCCGACCTGTTTGTGAAAACGGGAAAGCGTCGCTATATGTCATACGCGAACGGTCGATGTACCATGGAATGTTTCTGGGACAAAACACTGAAAATATAACCAAATGAAAGCGGAGGAACGGGGAGAAGACACGGAGAATCACAAGATTGAAACCGTTGAAAAAAAGAATCATCGAACCGCGAAGAAATCTTTTAATACGAGTTTTTAATCTCCTTCTGGTTCGAGTATCCTACACGAATTTATCGTTTCAATTCGACCGGTTTAAGGTCCGGTTCACGGATCAGTGGAACACACAATTTTCGCCTTTTCCGCGCGTTACAGCGTTCAAGGGAAGAATAACTATTTCCGTGGTGAAAGTGAGGCACTATTTTTCGAGCTTCCTGTCCAGATGGAGATAAATTGTCGCTGAAATAGACCGGCCTCGTGGCTGCGCCCGTGAATGCGCTCATCGGCCCGAGGAAAGATGAATGAACTGCAGTTACCGACAGACGAAATGTGCCAGAGCCTGCGAGAAGGATACGACGATGTTTGTATTCCGTGCGAGAAATTGAAATTCCTTCGAATCTCGAAGAAAAACCCGATACTTTTAGTCCTTGCCTTTTCCGACTCTGTGCAAGTGGAAATTCGTATCGTACACATCGGACCGGGACTTTTATCTTCCGAGATGGGTGTCCCAAAATAATTGATCTCGTCGACGTAGATGCATAATTTTGACCCTTTCGAGCGATTACCGTGAGTAGCCCGCGAACGGTTACAATAACAAGCGTGGATCGATCCATACGGACAGTTCTTATCCGCAAATCCGATTCTTTCTCGTACGTACGCTTTTTCTGCCTTCGGCTTCTCAAGGCTGCCAACCAATATCTGAGTAAGCTTCTCAGAATCAAGTGCCCCTTTCCCTCCTATCCGGACCTATTCAGGGGAAAAAACGAGCGTCGAAGACAGCGAGTGCTTTGATCGCTTCGAGTTCCCCGATAATCACCTTTCATAACCGCGTTTTTTTCTCATTACCCTCTTCGTTTATCCGTGGTAATTCTCGCGGATATCGGTCCCAGTTCGAATCAATCCCTCGGGTACTTGGCTGCCTCGAGAAGGATATATTCCTCTCTGGCGTCTACGTGGCTCGTTGTTAAGGGGATTTATGACCGTGGCCGGATGCTTTGGCATAAACGAGACCGAGCGTAATACGAAAATAATGCAAATGCTGCGAGCGAATGCGACGATACAATTTGGGAGAAGCCAAGGGAGGAACAACGACATTCATGTGCTAAGAGGACGGTGAATCGCCGACGACCTCGGCTCTATCCATAGTTTTGGTCTTGTCTCGAGGATCAGGTATTTCGAGTTCGGTTCGTGAATGGAACTCGAATGGAACTTTAGGGGTTAACCGTCCTCGAAGCCTCGGAATGTCAGGTAACTTCTAAACTATGAGGTATGGACAAGATATTGTTACGCTTTCTCTTCGAATCACCAAATAAAAGAACTTTCGCGGTGCATGTCACGATGATCAATTTGAAAATATTTGAGACGCGAACAGGAATGTCCGGAACGAAAGTATGGAAGTTGCTAACAAGGCAGTGGACTACGAGGAACGTGTTAATTGCAGCGGTACTCTAAAGAATTCGGTCACGCAAGTCGCGAATACGCGAATGGAAATTCACGTCTGAATTAATTTGAGCGCAGTTTCGATGCAACCTGTCCATCCGACGCTTACACGCCTTGGTTGTTAACAGGAACCGCGATCGAAGCTGCTTCATTGTTCGCTTAACTCACGATAACGAACTAATTGCCCCTATTAACGAGTCCTCGCGCCTCGCTGGTTGATCTCCCAGCCACGAAACAGTCCGAGAAACATTCTCTCGGTATTGTTCGAACGTGCGCCATGCGGACCATCTTTGTCCTTTCGTTTCTGTTCTTGTGTCAAGTTCTACGATGTCCTTTAGACTGCTCCGCCTACGAAAGGAACAAGAGGTACTTGGTCTATCCAGCACCTGGGAAAATAGTCCCCACTAAATTACAGGTATACTAATCTTAACCTGTCAAAACTTCCCTGTCTCTAGTACGCGTTATTAAAATTATAAGTGTCGTGTGTTTTTCTTAATTTGCTTCGACGTTGAAACGCGAGCAGGTGAATGGTCGGTGCATCCACGCGCCATTCTAATTAGGTATTGATCACTAATTGTTGAATCTGCTGTACGTGTTAAACAAAGGTGATAGGAAGCATGAGCAGTAACTGTCTCGAGACAGAGACATGACGTTACAAAAGACACGACGCGATAATGATATCGCCGTGATAACTTGACACCCGTTTCGCGTGCAATTAGAACGCCACATTACCCGTGGATCTTAATAGTTCTGTCAAAATTCAATAACCAGAAACTGCGCTACTGTAACGCGTACGGTAAAAAAAATTGTAGAAAAATATCTAGTAAACTTTTCGTAATTTTGATGCTATGTAATACGTAACGGAATTGAACGAGTAACAATGGAGAACGATATAAATCACTCGGAATCGGTACAGTTTAACATCGTGACGATCGATAACGTTTCGATGCGTAGTACGACGTATCCTAGGATAGATAAGCCAAAATTATCAACGTACATGTAGCTCCGAATTTTGCCCCTATCGCGCGTTTTCCGGGTCTAATTTAGTCCGATCGAATGTCAATCGGCCCGGTATTCGATTGGCGGTTATTATAAACGATCGATGACACCTTCGTGTATTTGAAAACCGTTCCAGTTAATCCTCGGCCTCGGTTTACCTATGGAAGTCGACGTCAGCCTGATTATGGGATATGTGGTGAAATTTAATTACGCCCTACCCTCTAACGCATCCTACTTGACGGATTCATATGTTCGCTATGACAGATCGATCAGTCCCGGTGTCCAGGTCGACGAGAATGACGAATCCTCGCTGGATCATCAAGGTACGTGACTTTTCTCTTCTTTTCGCGCCGATGCATTTCCGGGATAATTTATCGATCGAACAAATATACGTTTTCACCCTTTGACACGAGCTTTCTCTTATGTAATTTTTGAGGATTCAGCACTCGTTCACGTAGACGAAGAGGAACGAAAGCGATCGCTCGAAAATCTTTGAATTAAACGTTATGGTTATTGAAATCGCTGGAATATCCCCCTTTTAAGTAGACTTTCTCGAATTTTATGTATCGCGATAAAGGAGGATCAGTCTAGTGGCGGATCCAACGTAACAGTCCAATTCCTCTAAATCCGGACGAGCACCCCTTGGCCTCGAGAGCCGGAGGAAGGAAGCTCAGTGCCCGGATAAGAAGAAGATCCTCTTCCTTTACATATTAACGAGGCTACTTTTGTTGCGTGCCATGTAACGCCGTTCACGAGCACGATAACGAACTGCTCTTTGTCCGTGTCGATTCCATTAACGCTTTTCCTCTTATCGATCTATACGACAAACAACAACGATACAAAGCATATCTTTGGCGATCTAACACGAGAGAGAGCAACGCGTAGCGTGATTTAACGCGCGGCCATTAGCCAGTCAGGCAACAGTTTGTGTTTGAAGAGCACTCAAAGGGTTGATCGACCCTTTCTCTCCCTCCTCAGCTCCACTGACGGAGAGTTTCTGTCTGCAGTAGAGGAACCGATCATTAACAGATGGGAAATCTACGAAATCCTCGAGTCGGTTCTCGGTGATTCGCGATCCGGCAAGGCCTGCCTTTTAAGAGCGATCTGCGAGGCTTCCGCCGTTCCTTTCAGCCGTGTTCACGGTCTCAGCTCTCAGCTCATTCATCTTCTCCTCACGTGAGTATCGATTTTAAGGTTCGAACGGCGCGAAAGTACGGAAAAGGTGGTTTCGGTACGTTTTCGAGGCGATTGTGCCTTTAGCCACGAGTCGATATCGAACACCGTGTTTAACTCGTTCGCGAGAGAGTCGGCGTTACACTCGATGACTCTTTACATTCGCGTTTCTACCTGTCTGACATAAGTCTATTCTCGTTTCAGGCCTTCCAGCACGTCCGAACCTTTCAGAACCAGCTATGATCGAGTGTATCGCGCGGCTGAAATCATGGGTCGACAGGCAATTACCTCTTGCGACAATTTATTCCCGGAATGCTCGGAAAGTCCCTTGGAGTATTTCACCGAGGTCCATGAATAAACATCCGATTAACAAAAAAGACTGACAGCTTGTGTTCATCGATATTCTACGTTCTCATAAATAATCTGTAAAACTGACAAACGGAAATCTGTACCAAAAATAAAGTAAAAAGTTTTGTAAACGCGATTCTCTTCCTATAATCCATCACACCGGAGATAAGAAAATGTCACGATGGTTTTAACGAACTCGTGGAACCTCCAAAGAATGTGAACTCGCGGTTAATCGAGAGTTCAAAGAAGGCTGGACGCGTTAGAAAACAAAACGAAGAATCGATTGGTAGCTGCGGTCGAAACGGAAGGTTCTATCGAAACTGGAGAAGAAATTTATGTGTCCCGATGTCGTGGGATATTAGAAATATCAAGGGAAAGAAAAGGAGGGCGGTAGCAAGGAGAAGTAAAAAGGGAACAAGGTGTGGCGAGGGAGAACAGGGTCTGGTGGCGAAACGTGACGCAGTTATCCCGGCGTTATTGGCAGTTCTCTCGTTCAATAACAGGTACACGTAAAGAGAAAATACTCCGGTTGAAATTTATAGAGGACGTAGGGCGAGCTGAGCGCGGAGAAAAAATGGCCCGTGATTCTGGTCACCAACTACGAACGGAAAGGGGCAGAGAGAGAGAGAAAAGCTAGTTTTCTAGGACGTAACGATTCGTGGTAATTAACACGGGACAATATACGATTTTACTTCCGCGTCGTTACAACGTCAGCGAGGTCGAAACCTTTGAACTTCGAAAGCTACCATATCCATCCTCCTTCCCTCGTTTCGTTCGTTTTCCTCTCGCTGCACCGCGTGCCGGTTAATTGTTGATAATTCCCGATGCGTGCAATCGACGAATCCGTTCGCGTTGAACAGATTAACGAACGCATTGTTCCCCGGATGCGCGTTGCTGGATTTTGTTGAGAACTTTCCGTGATCATTCGCTCGATTGTACTCCAGCGTTTGCGCATATCCGAATACGATTGTACGACCGGACGATGAGTCGTTCGAAATTACGAGGTTGATTAAGAGTTTCATTTCAAAAAAGCGTTGACCAGTTTTAATTTGGAATTACTTTTAAATTTCTTATCGTGTAACAATTCTTTCTCAAAATGGTATCCTACAAGCAACGCTACAAATATCTGTACTTGTCTCGATAGTATTATCACGGTGCTAGTCTCCGAGAAACATTTAACGGTCGAAGAAGACCAGCAGCAACCGCATCTCGATCCTAGCAAATTTCCTCCCAGCCAGTACTAAAATTTTCTAGATCCTCGCATCGATTCTCGATCCCCCAGGCTGCTGGTCAGCTTTCGATTTCCGGGGTCGGATGTCTCGGTTGGTCGGATAAGGAACGACAAACGGACATCGTTTAACCTAGATAGATAAAGGATGGGTTATGCGTGTCCCCACGTTCGCGGTTACGCTTCGCGAAAGAAAGACTCGTGTACATAACGAGGACGAGGTTTACGAGGCCGTTCAGGGGGTTGTAATTCAATTTAATGTCGGGATCGTAGACTCCGTCCGACCGGTTCACGAAGATTCCGCCTCCGAATTACGGGTCACGAAGCAGGATACGGTGAGAGATTCTTTCTGAAAGCGGGATCTCTCCACCCGCTTGTTCAGTCCGCCCTTCCTCTTACCAAAGAAATCCCGGCAGGGGTTCCCTTGGAACTCTCGCGAGGATTTTATTGCGTAGTAACGTCGCTCGCTGATTTAAGCGTTCTCGGCTTTCGGTTCCGTTCAAACGGCGATTCAGAGATCCGTCAAGAACTTTCAGGCGAAGCGGCTAAAATTTGTTTTTGCGACGTGCTCTTTTCGCGTGTACCTCTTATGCCTTCGACGCACAGAAAGGTTGCGACAAGATTTTTATGAAAGTATCGACGCGAACAATTAATTTCTCGATAATATAATTCTCTTCTCGACGGTTCCTCTAAGCCTAAATCAACAGCACCTGGCAATAAGTCGAAATTACTTTGGTATCCATCGACAAATCAAAGTGCTCCAGAAACAAGCCAGTACGAAATTGGAACTCCAAACAAAGGCTAATCAAAGGAGATCTCTCAAGAGCACGCGAATCAAGTGTCCTGTTATTCGAGTGGCAGTACGAGTTAGCAGGTTCAGAGGTGCAAATCAGCCACTCGAGTCGGACGAAGATCTCGTTGTACGTTTAAACATTGACATCTCACGGTTTCGAGACAAAACGAGGCAGGTTATACCCACACGGTCAACATCGGAATGATCGTGGTTACGCAAGCCTCTCGGTTCGTCGAACCGACCATACGTGGTAATCGTTTGCTTCGGGCAATTTCCGATCTCTCGTCGACTCGTAGCGATCGTAGTTCGCGTTTCTACGGTTTGTCCGTCGCTTCGGGCTCGAAAAGTCGCTTCAATGACTGGGACGATCGTCTTCCTAACGGTGTTGCTCGTTTGTCTGTCTCGACATCCGGTACAGAGCTTCGAGGACCATGACAGAGACGATTCCATGGGAAACAACGGAACCGGGCTGCTCAAAAGTCCCTCCCGGCGACCCAGAACTCTCATTTTCCCCGATCCCGTCCAGCTTCTGGTACGTAGAATCGCAGATCGTGCTCGGTTCGGCTAATGAGCCGTTTCTGTGGCCGATACACTCGTTCAAACGATAACGATCAGTTTCCGCTTCTTTCGTCTCGAGAGAATTGAAATCCATTCGTACAGTGTGTGACCTAGGGACAACGAGGATAATATTAGAATTAGGCTAAAAATCTATCCTCTCTATTAAGGTTACAATTACGCGGTAGTCCGCGAGTAATAACCGTCAGGGCTGCAGCAAAGTGTATAACGTATTTCGATTCCCATCTTCCGGTCTGATATCGTGGTACACATTCCACCTGACCTTTCAGGGCTCATCCAATTTCTGTGCCAGGTGGATACCTACATATCCTCTGTCCGTGTACGTTGGTTGGCTGCGTGCAAGCCTTCGTATATACATACATATTCATGCACACGTAGGCGAGTAGCATCATGGCCTGGGCGGTATATGAATTTTCGATAAAACCGCGAATTTCCACGGAGAATCGTTTCGAGCCGCACGCGTCTGGGGAGGACAGTTTAACGAGATTCGCGGAGGGTTCGGGTTAAAGCGTTTTTGCATCGAAATCCGGCTCGTTGCCAATCGAGATCGATACACTTCAAAGAGCAACGATACGCTGCTCTGATCCTGGCTACTCGCGCTAATTGCACGCCACCGCCTGCGGAGAAAGCGTTTTCCCTGATATTCTTTACATCTTACAACGTTCGATCTTACCTGACAATCGTTCGATTAAAAATACTAGATTAAAACGAGAATCGTAGCAGGATGTTCCCCGTTACGCCAGAGTAACACGCATCCGAAATCTTTTTACCGATCGCAACATTTTCCGATGCTTTTCACGCTAGAGTTTACAGTTTTACGGCAGAAACCGAAGTTTCTCCTTCGATTATTTCCACGGGAACATCTTCTAGATACACGGAACAGCGGTTACTCGATTCGTTTCAACTGCGGATCGCTCCGATGGACGAGATACATCGCTAGATTTTAACTCGATCTCGTCTCAGTTCATCCAATTTCCTCCTCGAAGTCGTTTCATTCCCCTACACCATGAATAACCGCCATAACAACGATTTTTCTGATCGAATCGCGTCCTCGGTGGTCTAGGTAGTCGCTTGATAACGACTGATTTCGTGGAAACCTTTAACCACGTACGTACATTCGGCGAAACGTAGAGCAGAATATAGGGAGAAATTTTAACGGCAAGTTCTGTCGCGTGCAAATGTACCCTTGGGAATAATAATGTACTTGGCCCGTCTTCTCTACCCGGTCCCACGCGAGTCACGATACGCTCTGTTAACTTTCAGTTTATTCGAAAGATAAAAAACTAATTTTGTTACGTTTGTTAGCTGATCTTCGGCTTGGGCACACCGTTGCAACTGAAGTACGAGAACGTGATCATGGGTATATTCGCGAAATACGTGTACATGGTCCCGACCAACGCCTCGGACTTTACCGTTCCCGGTGTCTATTATTCTCGGACACAGAAGAGCAGGTGGAGCATCTACAAGGTGTTGGAGAAAGCGGCAGGACTGTACGGATTCGGTGGCAAAGCGTGTCTGTTGAAGGCCATTTGCGAAGCTGCGTCCGTCCCCTTTGACGGTACTCACAGTTTATTGGGACAATTGTTGCAGGTATTCTTCAAGTAAGTAATCTCGAGTTAAGTACGATCGAACAAGTTTTATCGGTAGCTCCCTCTGCAACGCTAACGCGAAACTTTCGACCTGGCTCACGTGTAACCACACCTAAACCCCACCCTATCCACGCCCCAAATCCTAGAGAATATAAAGTAGCGTGCTACGTGACACGCTGAAAAAGTATCTTCATTCAACGTTAAGCAGCATCGAACTGTACCGTTAACTACCACCATAATTTTCAGTTAATTACTGTCCAAATTTGGGATTATCTAATATTTGAAGTTAGCGCCAGCGTCCAAACTCGAAGCTATCTCGCATACTGATGTATCTAACGTTAGTTAGGGTCCGGAGCTGTTATTTAGTACCCTAATTTATTCTCGCAAGTGACTATGGTCGCTCGAGTTAAGTAGAAACAATTTTCAGCATCGAGAATACTAGCGTGTACAGTTAACGAATTAATCGCAGAAACCGTGTACAATTTTAACGAATAGTTTTGAAATTCTTCGCCGCTCTTTTTAAAGTACCACGAATTCAAAGTAAAGCGATCTCTCCGTCTATCTTCCATCCTCCTTTCGATCTCACCCTACCATAAGGGAAAAATTTCGTCAATTTATCGTCTTTTTTTCCCCTGAACTTCTCCCCCGATCCCCAGCCATCGCGCTAAGCATCAAGCACATAAATTCTGTCGGTATCCCAGGAGTTTGAAAATTATTCTCTGAGAAACCGAACACAGACGGGATGCGAGGTAAAACTTTTCAGCAACAGCGTTAAAAGCCAAGTTACGATCACGTAACTGTTGAACCGGGTCGATTATCCATGGCGTTAACGTCGAAGGATTAACCAATGTCCGCATAATTCGAAACTAATTAACGAGCTCTTGACTACCGGGATAACTCGGGAGTTTCTCGCGTGTTATCGATCCCACGGTAACTCCTCTTCTTGCCACCCGGATTCTTTTTACCAAAACCTTGGTCCTGCTCTGTCGCCTCGATATCGTCCGGCGACGATTGCGATCTTTCACGGAGAATTCGAACGCGAATTCGTTGGAATTCCAGGCCTTCCAGCACCGACGAGCAATACGACCAGTACGAGGACCAGGAATATCGGGCGGCCGAACGTTTGGGCGAGCAAATGTCGGCGGAAAACTGCCACGCCCTTTATCCGGAATGCCGCAGAAGTATCCTGGATGTGTTTTCCATGGTCACCGTATGAATTCCAGACTAACACGACCACGACTGAGATTTTGCCCCGGTTACCTTATGGAACGAACAGTGCGAGGTTTGTTCGATTGATTGGAACTTTGGTTACATTCTGTCAAGCGTGTAAAGGAATCGGACGGACAGATTCTACGTCGGTAGATATTTATCGAGTTCCGTTGGGTTTCCGCTGGAAACACGATTTCTGATACAACCGAGCATCGGTTATCGGCTTCCGAGGTGTAAACCTCCCGTTGCGAAAGAAATTTTGCTCCGCGAAATTGCGCTAGATTTAGTTTAACGTACGTAGAAATAAAACTTTGCGAATAGTTTATAATACTTTAATTCGTGCGAAGATAAATTTGTGTTCAGATCGATATACGTATATGTATGTTAAGGATCGATGTTATTTTAGTAAATAAATGATATCAAAGTGAATAATTTGATCGAAATACGCTCTTTTCCAAGGCGAGTATCGATCAACGTCATAAAAGCAGGGGTACGATCTAGTATTCGAAACATAACAATGGACGGACGTATCTCGAGCGTTTCTAGCAGTCAGTGTATTTCTAGAAGAACGATTCTTCCGACAAGTTGAATCCCCTGCCGGGCCAGTTGAACGCTTGATTATCCTCAAACGATGCCGAAAATTCATCCCTTCGAACCGAGCGTCGTTTCTCAAGGTGTCAGACGGCCGTGAAAGCATTTCTTAACCGCCAGGTTTTCCGCGAGCATTCCGTTGCACGGTCTCGAGTTTCATTTTCCTAAAAGTACCCGCAGCAATCGTCGAGTTTCGCCCCGGCAGTTCGTTGGAATCTGAAATTAAAGAATCTTCAACGTTCGCCGGTAGTTGCTTCGTTTCAAACGAACTCTGATATCATGCCACTAGCCTCGATTACGATTCTTCGAGTTGCGGGAAGATCAACTTGTTTCCTTCCAAATAAGAAACTTCGTTATTGAAGTGAACGTTTGTCCCGAAGATCATCGTGGAAGTCCAGTTACTTGCCGATACTTGCCGCTGGAACAACGCGTAGCACGGTCAAGCGTTAGGTTTTCGATAGATCACCGCCCGTTGTATTGCCACTTGCAACTTGCAGCGTTCACGAGTATTCCGGAAGTTCAAGAATGCGTTTGTCTACAAAGATGCGAGCGTCGGAAGATCGAAAAGCGAGGGAGGCTTGAGCCAACACTGATCTAAAGGGTGTACTTGTACGTAAATCTCAAAGAGAAACTGCTTTAGACTCGGAATTGAAAGCTTTCAACCGGCTGCTTACAACGGAAGTTTTACTTAAATGGAAAATCTCGACGTGCTTGAAATTTCATTTCAGGATCCTTATCGATTCTCATCGATTCTCCGCGGGGACTCGATGAAAAATCATGGAGCAGGAAATTCTAGTATGCCGGACGTCAATGAGCAGGTTGCAAAACGATAATAGCCGGTATTACGGCACTTTAAAAAGCGTGGTCCATTATCGCGCGGGGTGAGCCAAGTACGTGTAACGCTTAAAAGCTCGAAGGAAAATGTGCCGGAGAGAGAAAGAGAGAGAAAGATCATTTACATAGTATGCATATAACACGGAAGAACAGAGAGAAAGAAAAAGAAAGGGATTATATCCTGCGCGTAAACTAAACCTTGGTAACGAGAATTACGCGAAATGAAAGGTCGATTAGCTGCTTTTTATTCGGTCGTCGCTAAAAGGTTAGTTAATAACGGATTTCGGTCGGATGTTAAAATACTCGTTGTTCGTAAGGGAAATTGATACGCGTTTAATCGGAAATAACGGTGTCGATGAACAACTGAAAATAAGCGTCGTAAACCACGATGGCTGTAGTCTCTCTTCGTTGCTATTCCGCTCTGCTACGAAGCCACGATAGCGCGAACGATTTCGCGAGACGTGTTCCTTCTACTGTACTTTCATTCGAGCTCTTCAGAAGCAACGGCAGAAAGTAACGACGCAAGAATGAAGGGTGGAAAAAGGGTGGTCGGAAAGAAGAGAAAATGGCCAACCCTTCGCGAAGGACGCTTTGGATTCTCCGGCAGACTGCGAGATATCTCTCTGCTTCGTGAAAAGATACGTTCACCCCCTTTTTCGCTCTTCGTCTCCTCTCTCTCTTTTTCGTTCTTTTTTTTTTATTTCAGTCAAATCTAGTTCGTGGATCACACGGAATGAGAATGAACGGGTTTCCGAGAGGAGAAAAGGAAGATACGTTTGGCCGCGTTTCCCGCGTCATTTTTTCGTCCCGGCTATTATAAATTTTCGTTTCGTTCGACTCGGGGAAAATCTGCTTTCGCTGGCGTTCTTTCGCGTCCTTTGTGAACAGGATCTTTATGGAGGGTAAAACGGTAATATTTTTTCAGACCCTCCGGGCTATCGTCCGCCGTCGTGTTCGCGAAAGCGCGGGAAACATCTTTGTCGTCGATGATCTTTTAAATAAGAATAAGGAACGAGACAGGATCAACGCAAACGGGGTTAAGTGTCGTTCCTTTTATTTTAGGACTAAGCAACCCACGAAAGACGAGATCCGACCTAACGCCTCATGACAAATTAGGTTTTAGAGTCAAGACCGTTTTACACCATAAATTAGGATATAAAACTTCAGCGGCGTAAACACGCACCCTCATAAATTAGTTCCCAAACGCTTTAAACTTCTTTACCCTTGTTTATTCGTACTTTTTTCTATGACCTGATTTTCTGCATCACCTACCTTTCCAACACACGAAATTGGTATATAAAGTTATGAAGTAGCGACTCGATCGATATTTCGTATATTTCTTCGCGTTCATCGACAGAAAAATTTACAGCGCGAAATCTAATTTTCGTAGGGTGCGAATTGAAAAAGCGTCACTTTCCCGAAGTTAAAGATATTACAACGCACGATGAGCCGGAAAGGATCAAAGAATCAAAGAATTTCGCGAATATCGTTTTCCAGCCAAAATATTCAGCTACCACGAAGGAAATGCAGCGGCGGAGGGACGCAGGGTGAGGATATCGAGAAAGCGATGTCCTTCGATCGAACAAGGGTCTATCGGAACGACCCTCTAGGCATCGAGCCATCGTAATTTACGAGGAGACCCTGAAGGAACGTCTTCTACCGGGTGCAGCGTAATCGGATCACGTCGCGGCACGTCTCTAAAATTCAGGACCTTCAAAATGTCTCTTTCTTGTCTTCCTCCAATTACCGTCCGGGGAGATTTTCAGTTTCTTCGATCGAACCTCTTTGCATTTCATGCGCCCGATGAGTGCTTTCAAAAATGTTCCGAAACACCTCGGGAAACGTCTCCGTTCTGATTACGATACAAAATGATTATAGAACGATTCAACGTAAGACGATGCGTATTCGAAAGATTTTCGCCATTCGAGGATAAACGTCGTATCTCATTTTTCTCCTGACATCGACGTATTACTTCCGGCGTAAGTATCGCTTTTATTGCACCCGTCATTATGATCCTTTACGAGCCAGGTGAACGTAAAAAAAAAGCAAACTCGCCTCGTTGTCGATGAAAAAGCTCGCGGAATGCGTGCTTTCAGGAAACGCGTCGACTGCGAGAGGCCACCGCGTATCGATCCTTCCGGAATGGACCTCGCCTAAAAATCCTGGCCCTTTGAATCCCTCTCGCTGCCTATTGTTCGTTTCCCAGTCTCTTTCTTCCCTTTTTTCTTCTCCTCTTTCGTCTTCCTTGCTTACTGTCTCTCTCTCCCCTTTTTTCTCGTCGTTTGCTGCGATTGTACGCGTCGTTGAAACGGTCACACTCGATTCACGGCTGTCGGAATTCGGGGGGCGAATTAAATCTGACTCGCAGCTCGCTGAATTTTAATCTCGCCGACGAACGACAGGATCCGAGATCGTTGCAACGAGTTAAACGAACCGTTGCTTGTTCATCTCGTTTGGGACTTTTATTTTCTTCGACACTTTGCTGTTTCGTTGTCGAATTAGTCTACAATCCAAACGATCGACGTCCGAATTCTTCAGGGAGATTCGTTTATTACGAGCATTATCTTTTAAATAAAATTTTTTAGTTCGAATTTTGTCTATTGCATTGTAAACGATTCGCTCTTATTGCCACGACTCTGCGAATAATTTTTCTTTTGTATCCGTGTCTTCCGTTTAATCGCTTATCGTCTTTGAACGACGTCGAAATGGAACGCGAGAGAAATCTCTGAAACGTCGGCAACAGAACCTTTCAGACCTCGTATCATCGAACGAGATTTTAATTCAACTTTGGTCGTTAATCGTGCAGCGTTGGAAACGGAATTAATTAAAGCTGCTTAACGGGTCAGGCCGGGCAATTATTGGATTTACAACGCTATCGGTGGCAAGAGTTAAGCTGATACCCCGCCGATGAATCGAGCATCGGTTTTCCAAGTAATCGTTGAATACCTTGATAAAACGCGTTGGTATCGGTGTCGATCCTTTATTCCACGCGATCCGCGATGCTTCAGCGACAGCAATTTTATTTCCTCGATCGAATCGATTTGTCGCACGAAAACGGAGAAATACGCGTGTCTGCTGACAAATTCGATCCGTTTTAAATTCGCCGAACGCGACACGGTACCCTAGAAAATTCTGGGGCCTCGATGCATTTTATCTCGTTATCTCGGGAATATTGATTACTATGTATTTAATAAAATTTCATTAGAATTTTTATTTTCCAATAATCGCGACCGATACGGCGTCCGAGCAACACCGGCAAAATTGCGCGACGATTCGTCTCCAGGGACGCTGTAAAATGTTTTCACCCGGCAATTTTGCATCGCAAACGTTCGTCGAACGCAAACATCGTTCCATCTCCCGCCACAAACTCCGGGGCTCATTATCGCGTCGTCACAAACTGGTCGACGCGTGCTGGTTCACGAGGAAGGGCACACTCGCTGCTAGTTCGTTGACCAACCATCGAAAATCGGTCTCCAAATTATTCCGGTAAAGCGTCTGGTTAATTCCGTCGATTCGACAAACGTTCGTTGGCAACATGTTTCAGTCGTTCGCGTTAATATTCGCGATTCTATCGCCGTTCGTTCGGAACAGCGACGGTGTTCTTCTGTTTCCCGCAAAATCGGTATTCCAGGTAATTACGTTGTCTTTAATATAATCATTTTTTAACGCGTTTTCATAGCCCCCGAGACGGCCAATGTTCGAGACTTAAACCGTGCTTCTTATCCTCTTAGACAGCCCGTGAAACTTATTAAGTCCGTTGCTCAGATAACGAGTACTCCTACCAAGTTTCCCCTAATTAGATTGCTTCTCTGTTTGCATTGAATTCTTAATGTTTTCTGTCTAAGACGACCGAGGAAGCGGCGCAACTCGACGGATATCCGCTTGTCGATGCTTCGCCCGTGACAAGCAAACGTTCCTTCTTAATAAGGGGTTCTCATGAAACGTTTGAATAAGCAATTTGAAAGAAGAAAGTTAATGGAGTATTCGCAGCTTTGCCGGCGAAATTGGCAGAGCCTGCTTTTAAATAAACGAGCTGAAAGTCAAGCAGCGAGCGGGCTACTGAATGAAATATCATCCTTGAAACGTTTAATATTTAACCGGATACAATTGGTAAATATTTGACGAAGTATTCTCACCCTATTTGCTGCTTAATCAACCTGTTTTTTACGATAAATCCTAGCGTGGGACGTTCATATCCGTTTTGTTGTCGAGTCATCTGGAAAACCTTTCTCGATTTCGACGAAGAGCGATTTTTACAAAATTCCCTCCATTCTCTTCTGCTTTCACGTCCGATTTCTTTGCATCGTATTCCACATATATTTTTTACCCTAGACATCGTTTCGCAGGAGAATACCGCGTTACGGGATAAATTCTCCCACTTACGGCTCTCGGGGAGTCGATAGTTTGTTACGAGCCAGGCACGCGTCATTTACTTCGCAATTTTTTAAACGGAGATCGATATCGCGGTAATAAGCATTTGCAGCGGAAATCGATCGCGCATTCACCGTGGGTCACTCCGTGTATTAATGCGGTATCTGTCGTAAAAACGAGATCCGGGTATTAGCGAATATCGAAGAATAAAAAAACTTGCTACGAGGCGCATTTCCTTCGATACGCAACGACCCCTTCCTAAACGCGCGTCAAACTTTTCCAACGACTCGGAATCAGTATCCAGAACCGTTCACCTTCTCTGGATAAATTTTTGTTGTCTCCCTTCACGAGTCGGAAAGTTTGTTTCGTTCGAGAAACGATCGTTCCCCGTCTCTCATACGGCGTCCGTTTGTTCCATTTTCCAGTTCACGACCGGCATATCGGTTCCGGTTTCCATGAACAAAAGAGGCAGCGTGGTTTTCTCGGCCGCATTCCAATTCAATTATAAACTTCCGTCGAACTTGTCGGAGCTCGAGCCTACGATAATGCCAGCCAGGCAGTCGAGGGATCTCAGTCTGCGGGACACCTACGAGACCATCGAAAATTTATTCGACCGGTGAGTATTTTTCCTAATTACCGCAAACTCCTTCGATTCGATACATTTTACCGTCAACTTTTCGAACGTAGAGTACGCATAGTAAATCTTAGCGCGTTACGGGGAAGAATAAATCGATAAACGCGACTAGGGCGAACGAATAAATTCGTAATTAATGGACACTGGAATTGGCTGTGATCGTTCCTGGCGACGTTTAATGAAATTCCATTTTCTAGCCGAGGATCATCCGCCGCGTCCGTATTTACCGCCGATGGAGCGCACAATGGGCCGCTGATTACTCGAAACAAACGGGAAACCGGGCCTCGAAATGCGTTTTATGAACCGTCGGATAAACGTTTCGTTGGTTTTCAAGGCAATTGTTTCGCAGGAGAATACCGCGTTACGGGATAAATTCTCCCACTTACGGCTCTCGGGGAGTCGATAGTTTGTTACGAGCCAGGCACGCGTCATTTACTTCGCAATTTTTTAAACGGAGATCGATATCGCGGTAATAAGCATTTGCAGCGGAAATCGATCGCGCATTCACCGTGGGTCACTCCGTGTATTAATGCGGTATCTGTCGTAAAAACGAGATCCGGGTATTAGCGAATATCGAAGAATAAAAAAACTTGCTACGAGGCGCATTTCCTTCGATACGCAACGACCCCTTCCTAAACGCGCGTCAAACTTTTCCAACGACTCGGAATCAGTATCCAGAACCGTTCACCTTCTCTGGATAAATTTTTGTTGTCTCCCTTCACGAGTCGGAAAGTTTGTTTCGTTCGAGAAACGATCGTTCCCCGTCTCTCATACGGCGTCCGTTTGTTCCATTTTCCAGTTCACGACCGGCATATCGGTTCCGGTTTCCATGAACAAAAGAGGCAGCGTGGTTTTCTCGGCCGCATTCCAATTCAATTATAAACTTCCGTCGAACTTGTCGGAGCTCGAGCCTACGATAATGCCAGCCAGGCAGTCGAGGGATCTCAGTCTGCGGGACACCTACGAGACCATCGAAAATTTATTCGACCGGTGAGTATTTTTCCTAATTACCGCAAACTCCTTCGATTCGATACATTTTACCGTCAACTTTTCGAACGTAGAGTACGCATAGTAAATCTTAGCGCGTTACGGGGAAGAATAAATCGATAAACGCGACTAGGGCGAACGAATAAATTCGTAATTAATGGACACTGGAATTGGCTGTGATCGTTCCTGGCGACGTTTAATGAAATTCCATTTTCTAGCCGAGGATCATCCGCCGCGTCCGTATTTACCGCCGATGGAGCGCACAATGGGCCGCTGATTACTCGAAACAAACGGGAAACCGGGCCTCGAAATGCGTTTTATGAACCGTCGGATAAACGTTTCGTTGGTTTTCAAGGCAATTTTAAGCTTTTTACGCAGGGAACAACCAAAGGTGGAACAAAAAAAAAAAGGCTTCGAGCTTTTCCTCGATAACGAATGTCAATTTTGTTCATTTAGCGAGTTTACGCGTTGACTGCCACGGTAAAAATCAACGTGTTTACCGTGGCACGCGGCAATAACGATTTTTAAGGACAACGTCCTTCAGTTGATAACAGAATTTCAATTACTCGTACGCTGTTCGGTTACATTGTTAATACGTTTCCGTAAATTATTCGATTACGTCCCATTGTGAAGCACCGCGTAATTTCGTAATCAATGGTTTATCTAATAGACGCACTCACTGTCATAATTTCCTGCTACTTATCGTTACTCCTTGGCGATCTTAGTTTCCAAGACAATTGCTCTTGAAGCTAACAAAGGACATTCTTGCCGGGAGACTAAGCGAGTATAACGGCCTCAAGATCAAAGGGCTCGAGGATGAGGTAAGGTAAAGACGGGAACCTGAACATAAATTAATTGCGACATAAGGCAATTACTTTAGCAGCTCGAGGTACAGACCGAGAGACGGAGTAAAGCGTACGTAACTAGGGAACAAGTCCGCTTTGGAAAGGCTGTGCGGAAGTTAAGAAAGTGTCGGGGCTGATTCGTGGTTGACGCAGGGAGACGCGACGTCGAGCTAAGTGGATCGTTAGCGGATTGAATGGGACGAAATTTCGGTCAGCTCTTTATTCTAATAAATTGGAAATCATTTATAAGCAACCTCCGTATCGATCAGGGCGCGTTCAAGCAAAGACGCTTCATTCGTAACGCTTTATACTCGCTGTTCCAATTCGAGGGCACCGGTATATCGAGGCACAAGCGTTCAATCTAATTTTCATGTTTCCTCGAGCAGTAGATAATTTCATTGAAGGTAACCGGGGAACGAGAGCGTCGGAAACGAAGAATAATGAATTTCTCGGTTCTAGAACGAACGATGGAATAGGGGGACGCGTTTAAAAATTCTCTTTTGCCGGTTTAGAGAACCAATATCATCTCGCGGCTGCACGACTCAAGGATCTCGCCACTTCCTGATGAAATTACCTCCGCGAAGCGTTCGAAATGCTAAAAGACGGCAAAAAGGGAGCAACGAAAAAGCATCGGAGCAAGAAGCGGAGGAAGGGCGCGTAAGCTTCGAGAGGGTGAAAAATTAAAATTGAGCGTTCGGTGTTTATAGGTATGGCTGGCAGGACGGCAGAAAGTGTCTTTTAAGGACCATTTGCGAGCTCGCCGAGACACCATTTGGCAGGACACGCCAGGACGTCCTCGAGGAGGTGATTCACTTAATTTTAACGTAAGTTCGTTGCGACGAATCGCGCGCTTTCAACCATCTAGTACACCGCCGCGTGCACTTCCCGAAACGAAATTCATTTCTTGAGGAGCTTCCGGTTAATGAATTCCGTTGGAAGTCCCTAATGGCTGGTCCTGCTCGCTCGCGATAAAATAGGGCGACAGTGCGGTGTAACGAAGCACGTATAAGCCAAGATAACGCGATAAATCGACGCTACGTTTTGACAATTTCAAAGAACTAACAAATTTATTACCGCTCTCATTATTTCAACGAACGCGATTCGATGATTCGGAAAATGTCGGGAAGTTATGTACCCGAGGAAAATCTATCATTCCAGCGTATACAGAGTACAAAGGTAGCGCAATAATACCGGAGTAATTTGAAGGGATCGAACAACGAACGAGGATAGTCGGCGAGTGGAATAACGAACAGGGATTTAATTAACCATCGATCGGCAGAAAGGGTTAGCTAACGTATTGGCAGGACGATCGGGTAGCTAGAAAACTGGTCACGAATTTGCTATTCCAAAAGCGGCTTCGTGTACTCGAAGGAAATTGCAAGCGATCCGGTAGCCGTGTTCTAATTGTGACCAAGTTAGGCGCGTGCATTAAGCTTTTAATGGAAGGTGTTTCGCTTAGCTTTTCCCTTTGTATCTTCTTTGTGCACGCGTGCCGCCGACAAATTTTTACACGCTTAATTTTACTCTTTCGTTTTGATGGATCCTTCCTTTCTAGTTTTTATCTTACGTTTCAAATTACTCTACATAGTTACAGGATAAAGATAGCAACAATTTTACCTTTTGTATGATTACGTTTCTTCCGCGAAGACGTAGTCGCATTAAAATCCTGGCTATAGCAACGGTGAAAAGTAATGGAACGCGGCTCACTGCTGGAAACGCGTTGATAATAGAAAGCAATTGCAATTTATTCTACGTTAACACCTTCCCGCTGAGATCGTGCTCATCGTGGAAACGTGGAATTTCTCGATCAGGCCGACAGAGGACTTGCCAGAAACGACTAATTCCACTCACCAGAGCGTCGACCAATTGTATCAGGAAGCGGAGCTATTGGGAAGATCTGGCGGTGACTGCATCCTGGCCTATCCCGATTGCATCGATTCACCCTTGGAAACGTTTACGGAAATCTTGTTCCCTTAGGGGACACGCCGCATTTAAATGTCCACTTCGAATCCACTCGCTTCGTCTGAACTTTCGCTCTCGAACGAGACTACATCGAATCCGGTAACCGGATCATTCGAACACCCATGTATTACGACGATTTGCTCGAGAACCACGGTCAACGTTTAATACAGCTTTTTCTGTAAAATAAGAAAGAAAATTTATTTCTCCAAAATACCTGTGTTTATTCCCAACATCGTTAGTAACGCGCGTACGATACGTTCTTAACGAAGAGAAATGTTGCCGGAGCAGTTTTAATGAAAGCCAGTGAATTTCACGCAGATAGATTGTTTTATCAAACTTTCGCGTCAACTATATTGGAGTTGATGCACGAGGGTTAAGGAAATGTACGGTGCAGCAGCCTGGTCATAAAAGAATTTATTATGGAGGAGCTTTGACACCGACGAGGACAGCAGGGAAGTAAGGTGCTAAGTAAATTTCGCTGTAGCAGCTCCCACGTTGCCCTAGAAACCTCTATGTTCAGCTACTACCCCTTTTCCTTTGAATAATTCCTAACGAAAAAGTCTCTTACAATTCATATTATTCCACGCCTTACATCGACCAACACTTTCTACGAATACCTATCGTTTATCATCGTCAAAAATTCCGAACGAATTCTCTAAACTGTCGAGATACGTGTGAAAATGGTCACGTGACAAGAGCCTGCTGTATCTAGAGCGACAGCGTAATATATAGGGTGGGTAAATGATTGCAGAAATCGCTGGCAAGTGGGTTCATTTGTCGATATAAAAGAAGCGGTCTGCAATTGCGTTAAGTGATAACCGAGGAACAGTGATCGAAACGGTAATCAAGATCGACAGGATCGATTCACTAGGCAGAAATGGAGGATAACGTTTCGTTTGGCAAGCAATTCCATTGATCGATAAGACCACTCTGTTTTCGCGATAACTTTTCGTGCTGGCAACCATAAGTCGGCGATCGAAAGCGATCGTTCGCAGGCCAAGAGCGAAAAATAAGGAAAAGTCTTAAGTAAATTTCGCTGTCGAGGTTTGCTCTAAAGTAGCCGGGGACGCGATCATTTTTCCGCGCGATATTTGTCCATCTGATATTTTATTTTAGTTACCTCCTAAACGTTCAACCATTCATTTGTTACGTTCTGCGTTTATTTTTTGCTTAGTAGAGATTTTGTACTTTCAAAGTATCGAGCCGCCGCTTTGAAAAATGTTCCAACGCGTCTTAGTCCCCTTTTGTGATTCTAAAAGTTTTATTAAACGTCAAGCTTCTACGTCCTGTAATCGTGTGATTTATGCTCGACTCGTACCCCTTTCTTTCATACTTTTAGGGACAGAGATGTGAATGGCTCTTTTTCTCGCGAAAGAAAAGAATGGCACTTTAACGATATCCAGACCTTCCACTTATATTATTTTCCACATATTTAATCTTTTCTTTTCTTGTCCGAATTTTGGCTCTCCAAAATACAAACTGTCGAAACTCTGCGAAGCAGATGAACCCAACAACTGTTACGTCCTAATGAAGTATCCAAATAACGCCGACGTAACGAAAAATAACGTTGTTTGCTTAGCTGATTATCGAATTCGGTAGCAATGGCCGAAACGGGAACCGACGAAGAAAGAAGAATCGCGTCGACGAGTAGCAGGATTCTTGGCGGTACAAAATTAGCTCGTTCAACAGGGTACAGTCAACCACAGAAGCTTCCTAGTGTAACTATGTTCCGAGTTGACAGATGACGCGTTAATTTCGCGGAGGAACTGGAAGTTTCGGGCATTCAGACCGGTCGACAGAGTCCCGGCGAGTTTCGTGCTAGTTGCGTGCCTTTGTGCTCGCCACCAAGGGGACGAAATTCACTTTGAGATCAGGATATAGAACCCTCATTCTTTCATCCACGAGGTGAGTCAAATGTACTCTCTGAAAGTTTGCCAACGTGCTTTTCGTGAGGTCGTTCGCTACATTCGTTTCAGACTCGAGTTGACGAAACAGGGGAAAAACAAGCTTCTTATTTCGAGAATCATAATCGAGTAAACCGATTTTGACGTATCTTAAAATAATTTCTCTTCGGTTATAGTTAAGATGTTTATTTGGACGAAAGTGGATCGGAAGCTGCCTCTGCTATTCCTTTTTGCGCTGATCCAGCCTGAAGAAAGCGAGCAAGCGAGAGAGACGAGGCAAGCACTGTATCCTCCGCCTCTTGTTTACCCTTTGACCGGCAATTTCAAGGTATTTATTTTATGCTTCGACGGGAAAGCTTTAAACTTTAATATCGGCATCAGAAAATTAAGATGCTGCGATCCTTTGACGCGCTCCTCCTCGAATCAAAAAATTATTCTGCCATAGTAACGAAATTCGCGATGGTTATACGTTCGAGTTATTTTTGTTTCGAAGAGTACGCCAACGTTAGAATTGGAAAGCTCGCAGACGAAAGATTGGTAAATTGTTGGATTAATTATTAATCGAGAACTATTAATAATTAAATTTCAACGAGTCCGGTTTCTGTACACTTGGATAATGGTCGGGCAATAATTCACGCTTTTCGCTGGTATCTGAAAACCATATAGAAGATAAACAGGCCCATTTAACAGGAAACGCGAATGAAAAATACGCTCGAGTGCACGGTGAACGTGTCCGGGCTTCGTATTTCCCTTTTATTTCGCGTCCTTCTTGCCACATAAATATTGTCGGACGCTCGTACATCTTGCGTATTCAAATTTCGCCGTTTTTGAACGGATTCGCGAGTGTGCTCCGCGAACCGTAAGCGAATTCGTTTCGTCGACCTGTATGGAACTCGTTACGCTTCTAATTGATACTGCGAATAAACTTTTTGGAAAGAAACGCGAACAGATATATCTCTCGGGGTAAATCTTCGATGAAATAATTAATTTTATCAATTAATTTCAGTGGCTCGGAGACGGTTCTTCGAAAGAAAGTTTCCTCGAACTCGGTCAACGGTGCTCGTCGAAATACCGGATTCAGCAACCCCGGCACGTAGAAAATGAAAAAAGAGTCCTTTAAGAATACAGGCCGTGTGTCTGGCTAACCAGTAATTTAAGTCAATCTTAGGCAAAGCATTCCCTCTCGCAAACTGATATTTTTCTTTCGCTGCCGGTAATTACTGGCTGTTTCGCACGAATCCCAAAGCGATGCCGCGAGTTAAAAGAGTTCGCGATGCAAACCGTATCCGAGTCTTATCGTGGACAGCCGCACTGTTTTCCTTTCCGCAATTAACGTCTCGGATGTCGGAGCGTCAGACACGAATTAATTAATCCTCGGTTGAGTCTTCTCCGGCTCGATCTCTTCTCGAAGTCCTCGACAAGGACAAGCGGGGAATCGGAACCGAAAACTAAACGCAAACTGAACCGGATTCCTCGAGTTCAGGACTTACCAGCGTGTTTCACTTGTCGGAAGTCGAGAGAGTCTGCCTGATAATTAACTGGAATCTTCTCCGATAACTTTCGAATTAAATCTTTTAATTAAATCGGAAAATTCCTCTCGCTGCTCCGTTACGTTGTACTTTCTTCGATTTCGCTTCGCGCGACGCGTTCGATCGACGGATTTCCAGTCGGCTGCGCGATTCCAAATATTTGGAAATTTGCCTTACGAAGGCGGGAAACATGAAATAAAATTCACCGTTTCTGGGTCAGTATGTATCTAAACAGTCGAAGCTGCACTGCGTCAAAAGCGCAGCGTCAAAGCGAGAAGAAAAACGAACCTAGCAAAGAACGTTGGATTACTTCCGTGTCTTCGCTTCGTAGTCAGCCATCTTATCGGGAGAGCAATTTCTTTCTCTAACTAATCTTTAAAGAAATACCTAATGGACCTAGTAAAATTATAAGAAACTTCCTAAAGTACGATTCGTATAAATAACGCGGCGGTGAAAATGTTACAAGGTTTTCTTACAACGATATCGGTTTACTTAAAGAAACGGGAGGAATAACGAAGTGCAGGGCAAGAGTGGAGGGAAGAAAGTTCAGCGACGGCTTAATATCTTGAAAACGAATAGGGGTTAAGCAGTATTCCAAAAGTTGAAATACGAGGACCAGCGGATGCGAAATTTCCTCGCGAATGGCAAAAAAGACCCACAGCTCAGCTGTAATTTTCCTCCATTCCCGTTTCTTCCCTTCGGCCGCGAACCTCTCGGTTTACATATTTATTTGCCGAGTTAGAAAAATTGCGTTGGTCGACTTAAAAACGAAAGAGTTTCGCGAGTAAAACGAATTAACGGTAGCGATGTATCGCGAAACATCTTCGAATGCTTCATTTCGAAGGCTGTTTCTTCTCGAACGGCAACAGAGCCAATTTTGCTGTCCGTTTGATTTCGTTTCCTTGGGCTTTTCATTTCATTACATCCGGCACATTTATCTCGCTCGAGCAGCGATTTCAAAGGGAAGGCGAATCCGAGGAAAACTACTTCATCCAGACTTCCTTTTCGACTTTTCCTCTTTCTCGAGCCAGTAAATTCTTTACACTTGCAAAAGTTCCTCCTAACAATTCCGAGAAGATTCTATCTCGGCATCGAAAGAGAACCCCTTTACGCTGTTCTCTTTTTCCGACAATTACTCCGAGAATGGAAAGAAACTGTCTTCGGCGTCGCGATCTTTTTCCTCATCCTCGGTAAATCATTTATAAACGCTGAGAAAATCGATGATCGGTTATAATTATCGGGTGGTTTGCCCGGTCGTTTCCAAGTTGCCGCGAATGCGAAAACGAACGGAATTTCCGTTCGTTAAACTTTACCGCAATCTTCTCGCTCTCGCGAGCGGCTGGCGCTCGCAAACTTTAATGAAATCTTTCGCAGCTTTTTCATCCGGCCTACGCTTTGAAGACAGGATTTTTCTGCTCCCTAATTGCCCTCACTGCCAACTTTCCACGACCGAGTCCTGCACCGGGTTGCATTGTTTTTGCAAGCCTTACACTTGGTCTCGAGGCGTCGGGAAGCAAACCAAGCGAAATATCATGAAACGCGAATCGCTTTGCCACGCGTCTTTTCTGGCTGCTCGTTCCGAGACAAGTTTGCCTTCACGAATTTCTCTCGTTCTTATCGTTTCCGTAGCGTACCCGACACAACTTTCTCCTCGTTGTCCCGCTCCTTTTTCCCAGGCTTCCTCTTTCTCCTTAGGATTCTTTTAATGACGGTCTTCGAGTCATTTGTTCCGCACTCCGCAGCGTTTTCTTTTCCTTCGGCAAAGAGAGTCATGAGCGTTGTTGCGTTTCCCTTATGGTTGTTCTTTGTCACTCGACTATTCTTTTGATGCCCAGCGTCGTTTTTCTCCAAGGGAAAACACAGAAACGTGCACTTCTTCGTGGTCGTCTTCGGTGATCCAAAGAAAGTCAGAGTTACGAGGAAGAAGCTTTTATTATCTTCACCGTGTTTCGCACGCTTGCTTACTCTCCCTGATGGAGTTTCTTTCTCCTCTCTCTTTTCCTCCAAATTGTTTCTTTGAATGCGTAAGTAAAGCTTTGCTCAAAGTGGCGGAGAGATTTTATTTGATCAAATTTTTTCACCAATTCTCTCTTCATTTTTTAATCCCTATTCCAATTAGCGAAACAACGTTTATTCTCATCGCACAGCGGTTGTATTACGCAGCTTTCAAGGTTTCATTCGATCGCTGTCCAAACACTTTTTCATCGCTATTTTTTTAGTAATCCATTTATAACTTTTATTTTAAACCCGTACAGTTTCAGGACAGGATAAATCAAATTAATTCCGTCGTCCCATCATTCTCGATATACGCCCTCGAGAAGTTCGTTAATTATTTATCCGCACCACTTACGGTGCTAGTCGCTTTACCGAATGTAATTATTACTTTAGAAAAATTTGATAAGTGAAAAATCGATAGAGTAAACAAAGGTCGGTTAAACGATGCAAACGTTGCAACATATATCGCGAAAGCATCGCGACAGGAATCGAGTAGGTTGGTAAGCTTTCGAAACGACGGAATATCGTCGAAATCGAATTCGACGCGCATCTATCGCGTGCATCTGTATATTTATTGCCTTTCTGTCAAGCTAGTCGTGGGCCTAGCAGTGCCGGTGCAACTCTCCGGGAGGATTTTGGTTTACGGCCAAAACTTTCAGTTCCAATATATGTTGCCAGACAACGCGACCTTCTTCACGAACTTCTTCGAGGGCTCGTCACGGCGACGTCGCAGAAACGTAAGTTGGAACGAGAGGGCTCCTGTTTACAACGTTCTGGAACAAGAACTTGACAGGTAAATGTCTGCTCTGAAATCCTTAGTTCCCGCGATGCCTCTTTTTAGCTTAACATCGCGAACAATTAGTCCCTTCAGGGGACGTTGAAACTTTTGCTCGAGAAATAACGCGTCAATCCAGAAATTTACAACCGTGATGGATTAATAGCCGGCGTTTCACGGAAGTCGTAACCGTAACAGCGTTTAATAAATTCCGACGCTTGGAATCCGCGTTATCGAATAATTAACCTGTCGAGAAGTTTATGAATAATTTATCGACGTTACCGTTTCTATATTGTTAATTCTGGTACTCGTTACACCTTGTAAATCACGCGTATTCAAAGTGAAATGCACATTTTGATTCGATCAAGCGATAACGGTAGCTTCGGTAAATAACCGATGTAGCTAAGCGTTTAGAAGTTAATATTTAATTACGAAATGAAACGACAGCGACGCGTCGTGGTATCGGGTTTACACCGAAAGGTCTAAGCTTAATTTTCTAATTACTTTTCAGGAGGAACATCGACGGAAAGAGTTGCTTGAAAAAGAACATCTGCGAGGCTGCTGCAACACCCTTGAAAGACGAGGGTCTGCTGGGTGAATTATTGCATCTTCTCCTAACGTAAGGCGCCTCGATTCGATCGATATCGATCTTTCAATTTGAGAAAAGAACGTTAAAGAGTGTAGCACGCGTTCAAACTTCCATTACAGTCCCGATCACGGAGACGCATCGACGATGGACGAAGAATATTTAGAGGCTGCCGCTGCCGGAAGACGCGGGAAGAACTGCTCCAGCCTTTACTCGTCTTGTCCCGTCGGCGCTGGGATTTTAGATAAAATATCCATCGTTTATTAAGCCAGCTCGCATTCGCGTTATCAGATTCTCCGCGTACGTTGGCCACTTCTCGCAGCCTCAGTTTCCTTCCTCGACCCAGTTGCATCCATCAAGCTCGCGTTACGTCAACTTTTCTTTCACAGCGGAATAAATCTCTTTCTGTCTTGCGTTACACACGCTGTTACGCTCGTTACGACGCGATAAACGAGCAACCCCGCCAACAGCTTTCGTAACTTTTCCACGCGAAATTCTCGTTAATTAAAGGCTCTGGCTACCGTCGAAATAATTTTCAGCGTGGCTTATGAAACGGGATTCTTTGATCCACCACGATACGCTCCTCTCTTTTTTTATTCTCCCTTCTACCGCGTTCATTTTCTCGTGCTACTTGCTCCTCGAATTTCCTCGCATTCGAGGCACGATTAATCAGAGAGAAGAGGAAAAAGGAGAGGAACGAAACGCAAGGATGCTTACCGTCAGTATATTTTATACAGCCTTCCGGATTAAGCATGCCGCGAACAGGTGTTCGTGTATAGGCGCGAAATAATTTATTATCAAGTGCCAGTTTCACGGTTGTTTCGACCGCGACGGGATCGTTTCAAAGCGTCGACCAGAGCTGAATGGAAGTCGCTTTAATCGAAAGGTAGCCGAAGGTAGCAATTGCCGTCTGTCGAGCCGTTCTTTCCGCGACTCATGGGAATTATTTCGTCGATTTTTCGCCCGGACGTTTCGTCTCGCTTTCAGGAATACGGTTAAACGAATTTGCCAAGTTTAATGAACTGCCTTGTTTGATAAGTACACTCGTACAACTGTACCTTGCATGTATCGGGAAATAACCACTCCTACTGTTACTCGATCGAGAAGTTTCGTCGTCGAGCAAAGAAATCGAAACTTTTCATCGTATCGTACGAACAATACGGCAAATTTCTGACAACTTTCGAAGGAAATGAAAACATGTGTGTAAGAGGCGTTCTACCAATTGTATCCGCTTCCGTAAAATAAAATGATTCTTTCCAATCTATGCGGAACGAGGCAATAATTTTATATTTTCCTTTCCGTACTTATCTTCCTCTGACATTTCTCCTTTACCGTCTATTCACGATAAAGTTATTAAAAAAAAAACAGTCTAATTGGAATGATTTTCGTTTCAATAGTATATAGAATAGACTCCTGTAAGAAGGAGGAACCGAGAGTTTGTAAAATTGAAGAAAAAATTTGCGAATTGGTGGGGACCAAAGCACCGTTATCAATATCCCACAGCAGCGCTGTCCGTCCAACAGATTCAATTCCAGTGAAGCAAGGATTCCAGGACAGACGAGAGTATTTCCATAGCAAGTTGTACGGGTCTCGTGCGACAACTTCGCAAGGACATCTTGGCCCAGGTCCCGACATTCATGCTGATTATGCGACTGTTGTTCTGGAGTATCCTCTGTGCTACCTTCATTACCGCGGGCAAACTCGTGACCGCAGGCAGACCCACTAGATCCTTGACGTTCCGGAAGGGCAGCTCCTTTTTCGTGAGTACCTGCCAAGTGCCTCTCTTCTTCCGGCAATCGAATCTCGCGAACGAGAGCTCAATTATCGAACGAAACATACTTATTCTATTTACTCTACGATTCTTTTCTATTTACCGATTCGTTATTAGAGAAATAGTCGATTACAACTTTTCTCCGAGAGCTTATTTGAAATCTGAACAACCTTTGGTTTCGATTCAATAACTTTTTTTACCTGTTTCTGATGTGTAACGCTTTCAAAGGTTGACCTCGCGTGGTTCACCGCGGTAAATTTTCCTGTACCCAACCATAGGATAATGCGTTCGACTCGTAGACGGGAAATACATTTCAGGTGGATCCACGAATTACGACAGAATGGTTTCATAGTGCATTAATGCGGTGTATCACCGAGTGCTCATCTGCTACCCTTTCAAGCCGAAAATATGCCGTTACGATTAAGTCACATCGTGTCGCGACTTTCATCGATCTGTCGGCACGTTTCCTGTATTATAAGATCGGATCCTTTAAAGTTTCGTTTCAAGAGCGACGATAATCAGCGAAATTAATTAGAAGCAAAGTATATCGATGAGGAGTTTAATTATAAACGCTGTTAATAGATAAGTTTGCTCGATCGTAAAATTTGAAACGAACGTAGCAGGAAATTTGTTGAACACGGTGAGGGAAAATTTAGGATTTTAGGGGTGCAGCAGGTGCGAGGCTCGGGTAGGCTGCATTTCCAGCCCATTCCACCAGAAGAATTATGCAGCTCGCGATGATCCGGTGCACTTACGAGCGAGTGCAACGCGGTATCGACGACACTGCACGTGCGCTACTCCTCCTAATGTACGAGACACCGGCTGAATTTCAGATCAGCATCCATAAATCGATACACTCCGCTCGACCGGAGGCCAATATGCAGCTAGCAATAATAAAGTGCAAAACTACGCCATCGCGTGGCACTTTATTCGATAACAGAGACGATAGGTTCTTCATGGGTGAAGTGGTCGTGAAAGTGTTATCATAACACGAAACTTTATTCGATTTCTCGGTCAGCGTTCGCGGGGCTCTTTGTCTTCGCAAAATGCTGCTTATTCCTCGACGTCTCGCTTCGCGTTTTTGATCGACGTAAATTGATAAGACTGTTCGCGCGGAAGATTGTTAGCGCAGCGGAATACGCTATGACTTTAGAGAATAGTCGCAAAAATTGAACAGTAGCGTATCGCGTGGAACCATCCTCGCAATTTATCATCGTTCTCTTTCGACAGTCCTGAATACATTCATACGCTTTCCACCGGGATTATGCAATACGCCGGGATGCACCCGCGCAGTATTTTCATGAATCCGAAATCCTACCTTCGATGTTCTTCGGGATGTTTCGAGAGATTAATTTAATTGCAAGATACATTTCCTTGCGGTAGATCGCTACGCGTTATAAGATCAAGCGTTAGAGAGTTAACTATCGATTGGCATAACTCCCCGGTGTTAACGGAAGGCAACTACTAACGACGATGTTCACTTGCAGTACAGAGTGAATTACAAGCTCAATACGTTCGCGTACACGACAACGATCTTTGCGCATGCAGCCGGCTTCAAGTTGGTATGGCAACTTCCTAGCGATACGGTCAGGATCAAGAGGTCCATCTCGGATGTACACGAGGCCGCGGAGCTCGTGTACGAAAGGTAATAAATAGTTTAATAGTCCGTGAATAATGCAACGGACGGTAGCGAGACCCGGAGAAGCGCAGTCCGGGAAATTGGCAAGAAGGCTCGCTGGAAAAGGGTGCCGGATGGATTTCTGGCCATCGGATAGGGGTGCAGCAGGTGCGAGGCTCGGGTAGGCTGCATTTCCAGCCCATTCCACCAGAAGAATTATGCAGCTCGCGATGATCCGGTGCACTTACGAGCGAGTGCAACGCGGTATCGACGACACTGCACGTGCGCTACTCCTCCTAATGTACGAGACACCGGCTGAATTTCAGATCAGCATCCATAAATCGATACACTCCGCTCGACCGGAGGCCAATATGCAGCTAGCAATAATAAAGTGCAAAACTACGCCATCGCGTGGCACTTTATTCGATAACAGAGACGATAGGTTCTTCATGGGTGAAGTGGTCGTGAAAGTGTTATCATAACACGAAACTTTATTCGATTTCTCGGTCAGCGTTCGCGGGGCTCTTTGTCTTCGCAAAATGCTGCTTATTCCTCGACGTCTCGCTTCGCGTTTTTGATCGACGTAAATTGATAAGACTGTTCGCGCGGAAGATTGTTAGCGCAGCGGAATACGCTATGACTTTAGAGAATAGTCGCAAAAATTGAACAGTAGCGTATCGCGTGGAACCATCCTCGCAATTTATCATCGTTCTCTTTCGACAGTCCTGAATACATTCATACGCTTTCCACCGGGATTATGCAATACGCCGGGATGCACCCGCGCAGTATTTTCATGAATCCGAAATCCTACCTTCGATGTTCTTCGGGATGTTTCGAGAGATTAATTTAATTGCAAGATACATTTCCTTGCGGTAGATCGCTACGCGTTATAAGATCAAGCGTTAGAGAGTTAACTATCGATTGGCATAACTCCCCGGTGTTAACGGAAGGCAACTACTAACGACGATGTTCACTTGCAGTACAGAGTGAATTACAAGCTCAATACGTTCGCGTACACGACAACGATCTTTGCGCATGCAGCCGGCTTCAAGTTGGTATGGCAACTTCCTAGCGATACGGTCAGGATCAAGAGGTCCATCTCGGATGTACACGAGGCCGCGGAGCTCGTGTACGAAAGGTAATAAATAGTTTAATAGTCCGTGAATAATGCAACGGACGGTAGCGAGACCCGGAGAAGCGCAGTCCGGGAAATTGGCAAGAAGGCTCGCTGGAAAAGGGTGCCGGATGGATTTCTGGCCATCGGAGCCGAGGGTTTCCGGCGTCGACCGCCGGATCGGCCAATGCTGTACCCGCCGACTGCTTCCGCAGTCACTCACTGCCCCAGCTTCCCTTCCTTTTTCTTATTTCCTCTATCCTTCGTTTCATCCTTTCCAACTGCGCATCCGATGGGCTTCCACGATTTCTCTGCGAATTTTATCCTCTGACCGTTCGTGCGCCCTATTTCTGCGCTCCTCCTTTCGATACCGAAACTTTGATACAATCCCTACCTCCGACGTTACTCAAACGTTTGCCACTGTTTTCATACCTCGATGCAATTATGTATTTCGCGACATTTCTTCAAATGTTCCAAGAATTTCTGCGCTCTCGAAATGCTTGAAAATTTTCGAGATCAAATATTCGTCGCAGATAAGCAGTTTATAGGAATGGTTCGAAATCTTGATTTATATTCCACGAACATTTCAGCCACGGTTTCGATGGCCGATCCTGCTTGCTGAAGAACATTTGCCAATCGATGGAGTACGTGAGGCACAGAGATGGAGTAATAGCGAAAATATTAAAATTACTTGTAGGGTAAGCAAAATCAATATCGATTTCACGGTATCAAAATACGAACCACTTAACCGTCGTTGATTTCAGGTCGTATGGGAATAATGGCAGTTTGTCGGAGGATGGCGTTTACTGCGACGTTCACGTCAGAAATTGTCCCCTCGAGTTAGTAGGAATCGATAGCTTTATAGAGTAATAAAGCCGAGAACGCGTTACAATCTGGTCGACGCTGATTGATATCCCACGTTTAAATACGTAATGGAGAGCGTAGTCTTAATTTTAAATTAAGTCGGAGGGAGAGAGGATTCGAGAGCTTATCTTCTCCCCTATACTTGCTCGAAACCAACATTGTATCGTTAACGAAGATTTATGTATTTTGGAAAATAAAGATGAAATTATTTATTAACGCTTGTCGACTGATTCTCGACCATTACCAGAGGATTAATCGGATAACGATTTCCATCGTTAGCATCCATAACTCTTGCTTCTCCGAGGGATCAATATCTCGACGTAAGATCATATTTTTAGAGTTTGAACCGGAAGTGTCGGTCGTTCATCATCCCGGCGGATTTTCCACTCTTCTGCGACAACTCTCGCCAACATTCCACGACAGAACGGTTATAATTGCATCCACGTCGGACCACGCGTTAACGAAAAGCATTAATTTAGAATGCTGTGCGGTTTTCTTGCCAGAGACGTCGACTATGGTGTGGGTGGTGGTCACGAGAGCGCACAACTCCCATATGCAATTAACAGACGCTCGTTGCACAGCTATGGTCTCCGAAATGAGGAAATAAGTACCGTGGCCCGGTGAAAAAGAGCTTTTCGTCTCTCTCTGTTAGATGGATTTTTTCTTTCGGCACGGTAACCTTCCACCAGCGAAGACAGTACGAATTAATATAACGGAGCCGTTGAAAATATAACAGTAACAAGTATAAATATAAATATAACAAGTAGAACGTCGAGAGTTCGTTCGTTCGTGTCCTGTCTCTACGTATTTTGTTACATTGTATTCAAAAAAATAATTACGTTTCTCCAAATAAAACTGTAACGCAGAGGAATCTACCTTGCGGTAAATAAAGAACTGCTGTACGAACCACGGTTAAATTTCAGAAATAATTCTTTTCGTATCAGATTCATAATGGCTTACATCGATTTTGATAAAATTTAACCCAGTTAATCGTAAAACGGGATCGAGACGGCCGACAGCCGTTTTGTTTGTCGAAATAATTACCGTCCGACGTCTGATTAAACTTGTGAAAAGCTACGACTAGCTCGTTCCCGTTAACTCGCACCGGTAACTGATCTTCCAGAAAGGAATCGATGCCTCAGTGTAGAACGCACTGTAGTCGCGGTGAAATCGACTCGGAACTTGCAATCTCGTAAATTTCCTCCGATACTTTCTCTTTCGAGGAGAAATTCAAACGCATGAAACGAAAACTAACGTCGCGATCTCGTCGAAGCGATGCTCATTCGATGTCTTTCCATCGTGCTCGTCTGCTTCCATTTCTTGATGATCGAGGGTCAAAACGACACGTCGAGATCGTTGTCCAGGCCGAAGAGGTACTTGACTTTTCCAGAGGGCAGCAACATGCAGGTCAGAAACGATTTCGTATCGAGCACAAAAGTTATTTTCACGAGTTTAATACTTCCCGAAGCACGACACGTTCAAAGCGTTAATACTACAACAATTGAATAATGTTACAAAACGTTTCCCGTTTCTTTTTTCTTTCTTTTATAGCTGGTGTACTGTTTGACCTTTGGAACGTTCATTACAGAAACTGACATTGTAGTGGGAGCAACAGCAGCTTTTGCTTGGGAGCTGCCGCACAAAGTCGACACAAAAGTAACAAGGTTGCTCCATCGTAGAAGCAGGAGTGTCGTATTTCCCAAAATAGAAGCCTTTTTGCAGTCGTAAGTAAATTACAATACCCACTGTTTATCCAGTTCAAAGGACGGATTCAGTGTTTTCTTTCATTTAATCCCTTTGTTAACCGTTCGCGATGCAACCATTATTGACTCGCACTACTTGGTAACAAGCCACCGTGCTAGTGTCTCTCCTCGTTCGGTTACCGTGTTCAGAAATCGCCATTTCACGATATTCCCTTCCACTCGAGATATTTTATACATCTTTCGATTTCAATAACTATTCGTATACATTATTATTGACTCGTACTACTTACCGCCTACGTTTCGCCTCTTTTACGTAGTTATCGCAGTTAATTAAAAAATGTTCTCGCGAATATCTACATCGAGTAGCGGAAAGTTTAACGAATTCGGACTGATTTTGAAGCTGGAAACTACTCAAACAAAACAGTGATTCGTTTTAAAACGAGTTTCAGTCGTAGGTGGCAGAAGTTAAGTAGAAAATAGAGCGCCGAATGGTAAAAGGAGAGGGATGGATCCTGACGCAGAGGATGGGAATTTCAATTTTTTTTTCTGCTCCCTCTGTGCTTTGCTCGCTTGTTGTTTTTGTCTGACGAAAACTCGCTTCCTATTCGCTCCTGAAGTGTGATATAACATGCAAATGGAACCCTTTTTTCCTGGCTGGCACATGCAAATGCACGGCAGGCTCAGGAATTTTCATGAGAAACGTGTGAGAATAACGAAACAGGAAGTCGCTTGGTTTGATTCTGTCCCATTTATATAACACGTTCCATTTCCTCTCCTTCGACCATTTTTGTGCATTTACGTCGCTAGATGCTCGACAAACGAGCTGTACGCAGAAGGTTGTCGAGTATTAAATAAAAACACGATAATGGGATGAATTATTCAGAGGACACTGTAACTGCAGTTCACAGCTTTCAATAGGTTATTTCATTTTCCAAGATGGGCTGAAAAGTTCTCAACTTCCATGCTTTAATACTTCGGTCGATGAAGTTTGCAAGTAATTCAGTAATTTTCACTTAACGCTTCGTTGAGTTACGGTCTTACCTTTCATAGTTATTTCTAGAAATTATCTTACGTTTCTACGTCTATTAATACACTTTTGAAATTCTGAAAAACTCGTGAAGAATTATTTAGCAACAAAGTTAAAAATTTAATCGACGGTGAGAATTTCGCTACTCTTATCGCTCTAATGACTCGCAACAGCGATTTCGTGCGACGCATAGTTATCCCGGAAGTTCGTGTCGCGGAAGTTTCCGGCGGTATCGGCTAGCAAAGCGTACGCGTTCTCGAGTTTCGAGCTTAAGGCAGAGAAATATCTGAAATTAAACGTCATTGACAGCACGGGACTAGATGGAAGAGCTTGCGTGATGAAGGCGCTCTGCGAAGCGGCCCAACGAGACCCTGCGGACGTTGGCAAAGGGACCTTGGTTCAGGAACTCCTGCACGTAATATTCACGTAAGTCTTTCTTTCTCACAACGTGTCAAAACTTTCAAAAAACGCGACATCGTGTTTACGCTTCGGAGCTTACAGTACATTATCGGTACAGAACATTTGTATTCATGATTGTATAAATACCAGATACAGGATATGAATATGGGACAAAGTATTAATAGTACAATGATAATGTCATTAATATTAAGTGAAATATTTGCATTCATATTGGGGTCACCGGAGGGACATCCGCAATAACTTTCCCGCAAATCCTCACTCGACTATCCTTCAATTGATTATATCCATAATTCAATATGCATTCCTATATACATATCCCTCGAAGCGACTCTAACTAGTCTGGTTCACGAGTCCAGACCTTCCATAGTAATAAAGTAACTTCCCGAGTAATATTCTATTTAAGTCTCCTCTCCATAATTCTTTAAACTCTTATCAATTTCACTCGCCTCCGTACGCAATACGGGTACGAGTCGTTATTAGATAATTAATCGGAGGAAGATTGATATCGTGCGTACTCATTGATGGGTGTATAATGAAACATTCAGCGACAAAACAGGCCTGTATCTAATTCGAGCAGTTAGTCAATTAGAGCGATTATCAAGCTAAAACATCTGGCCGACCAGCATGTAATCAATTAAAGGAACTAATCAACCGAAACGATTGAGTTACGAGTGGTGGACCCATGTAACCGATCACCGACACTTGGCGAGTCCATTTTAGCTTGGCTGAATAAATCATTTCGCTTGTCCGATACCTTGCTGTCATACTTAATTTACCGAAAAGCGTTAACAGTATCGATTCTTTTCGTCTTTTATCTACGAACTAATTTCTTCCTGAAGAATTTTCCAAAAATTACGAAGGGCTAGTTAAATTTAATACAACTTTGTGAATGTTGTATCCAACGGAATGATCAGCATCTTTTTTTGCACTCATGGTATGTTTCGTAAGGAAACGGTTAAATCAGGTTTTCTAAGCGACGACGGTCGAAAATCGGAGGTCCTATGGCTTTCGGTGGATCCTATCAGGAGGAGCCTCGAAGCTAGTCCGTTCGACGAAGCAATCTCGATTCGTCGGTTCCATTTGGCTACCTTAAATCCCATTTTCTTTCTTGCAGGCTGCCCAGGGACGGCGGAAGGTTCGAGCGATCGCAGGATCAAGCTTACGAGGACGCATACCAGAGCAGCGAAAATTGTGGCCAACTTTATCCGACTTGCCAGCATTCCATTTACGATCTAGACTTCTGAGGCCCCGTTTGCCTCTTCAGGGATACACGCGTGTACGTTCAATTTTCTTCTTCACTCGCAAGGACTAGGTACATCGAATAAACATTTCCTCAGATGTCCCAGTTAAATTTATTTGAAACCGTAGACCGCCGTAATTGAGCAAACTATGCGCATCGTTTAAAATTTTGGCAGAAACGAATGGTGACACGTTATTCCGGGGCAAGCGATTAATAAATTTGACCCTGAAGAGTTGAAGGGACCGTGGAATTGGACGCATTCGTATGCGTGTTCAACGTTGACCGCGTTTCTCTCGTCGGACGTGCCCCGAGGAAGAAACGTTACCGAAGTTTTCCTGGCTACCATCCCGGTCCTGGGCGATTTTTCAACCCGAACATTGCCGCATCACTGCATAATCTTCATCCACCGCGAACACGGTTGCTCGATTGCTGCCAAGTTGCGCGAATCTCCGCGTTCGAATCTCGGATATTCTTTTTTCGCGCGACAACTTTCCATATTCGATATTCCAAGCTTTTTCCGATATTATCTCGACCACCAACTTAATTAACGATCTAATACGCGTTGAGGGATTACCGCGTGTTTTAAAGATAATATTCGTAGCAAGCTTTTCCACGTTCGCTTCAGAAATGGTTAAATTCGCGATACACCGTTGACCTTACAGTAAACAGCGTGTTAATCAAGGCTGTGTTTCCATGTAACTTCCGTTTAATTCCATTGCGAATTAGTCGTTGGTAACTTTCAGCCTGCAATCAAGGTGCATGCACAAATCACTTAAACCAATTTGCAAAGTAATACTTTCAAAGCAATTATTTATTTTATAAATCGGTAACTTTCCACGAAATTAAGGAGTCCAAATGGAAAAAGCGGAGAGAAAAGAAGTTCGTGAAAAGACTGATCGATTCCAGTCGGAAGGCTGGAAGTTTAATTTAGCATATGGAGGCAAGGGAGATGGAAATTGGTCTGGAATCGATTGGGTAATTCGTTTAATTCGTTGTATCGATTAAAAAGAATTTCATGAGGATAAAAGACTAACGAGTGCTTTGAAAATGTGGATAATTAATCGATAGCGGGACGTTTACTTTCCTCGTTTCATTTTACCGCTTTACATCGATAAAACAATCGATTTATAATGCGTTCGCGGTTCTACGAGTTTGAAAACTGCTTACGAATTACCAACGATACACGACTAATGTTGAACTTTAATGGCACAGAAGGAATTGAATATGACAACACTTGTTACAAAGCTAATTTTAATCTCGAGTTCGCGTGACAACGTGTTGCGTTTACAACTTGGTCCTCATTACTAATCCGTCGAATTCATAATTTTGTTCGCGGAGCATTGCTATAATTTTCGGAACAATGGAAATTTCAAGCCCCAGCTGACGTTCTCAAAGGGAGAATTGCGTTATAGGCGCACAATATTCGTGCACGCATAAACACAGTACCCTAGGAGGAGGCACACGCGTGCATGCAAGCAAAATAGCGAAACCATGCAGCAGATCTCAATTCCCGGTAGGGCGCATCCTCGAGTATGCTGATATTATTCTAGAATGAGCGCGAGATTATTATAGGACTAATGGATTCACTGATAACGTCTACTCGATAGATAGCGTGCCTCACGGTGTTCTACAAAATGTACGCTCTTTGTAATAAGTACCGTGATTAATGAACGTTCACCTTTCTTACGTAGGTTATTTCGGAAAGAATCTGGATTGTCTTACTGTTCAGACAGCTCCATATAAAATATTAACTCCCCGTCGTTTGTCTTCAGAAAATTGTCTGAAATATAAAATTAATCTGGTGAGGGGAAATCCGCGCCATTTGTTCCAGAAATTGTTTCATCGAATTATTCTGCAACTTTGTGTAAGGATATAATTAAGCAAAAAGTAAACAGTGGCATCATGAGCTAAAACTTTATTTCGAGAGATTTAATCAGATTATATTTCACGTCAAAACGGATGAAAATTTATTTACGGAGATGGAATGAAATAAGTTTACAGTCTCACCGCGTTCTCACCGAGCTTTATAACTCGGAAAGATTAAATATCGTTTGAGCTTACGAATGTAAGTGTGAGCAAATAATCAGCACGGTAAATTCGTATAAACTGCCCCAACGCGCATCGATCAAATTATGACTAGCAGCAAGTAGATACAGTACGGATTAGTCAGACACGGCGCGATTTCCGTGGCAAACGTAATTCGAGTGCTTTCGAAAGGCTTCGCGTGGTCATTCGTAAAACGAAGGTTCTCTCTGTTCAGAACACGTTTGGACATTTTTCTCGCGCTTGTTCGCACTCCTCCTTCCAGAAGTAAGCTTTCTCGTAATCGGTCATCGATTCCGTGTCGCCGATCTCCGGTATTCTGAAAGACGATAAACGAACGAGAAGGCCCTTGATTAATTATATGACGAGAATTCAAGCTTCTTTCGCGCGAAACAATAAACAACGTTCCCTCGATCCGTGAAAAGCTGGCGATTCTTGGCGCGTTGGAAAGTTCCGAGCGATTATTAAAACGGGACGGCGCGAAAAGTTGTCGAAGGAAATTCAGCGAGTTCAGCCTCCACGGGTTTCTGAAGTTTCTCGGTTGTGCTGGTCGAAGACTACGTCAAGCGTCACACCGGATGCCATGAATAAATTCAACGTGTTATCGAAAAAGTGTAACCTAGGCAGACCGTCTCTCGCTGGCAGCTTTGAACGGACTTCGAAAAACGTGCACCCGACGACAGTTTGATGGCAGCATCCGTCACTCTACTTTATTTTCTCTATCCTCTTATATATCTTGTTTTAATCTCCTCCTTGCTCGAATTATTGGGCAATCTTTTAACAAAGCAATTTGCAACTTATTTTCGTTTCAACCGTCAAACGTACTTTCTCTACGTCGAAAACAATCGGTCGCGCACATCATACAAAATATCGATTTTCGATCGACTACGAAATTTAAACGTCAACGTTCGACAGATTCGAAGTTTACAGAAGGATCGCGATATTAAATTTTACTGGGCACCGACTGCATATTAACTTGTCCCTTTTAACGATCACCCTTCGATTAATCAATGCCTCCAGCTGATCAATATTGCATCTTCCTTAATCAATCTTTCGCTAATCATCGTTTAACCATTCGCTTCGATCACCACCTTCTCAGCTTTTCCCGTCTCGATGAACGTTCGATTAATCAATGCTTTCTACCGCGATCTTCCTCTGCCATTCCATTGTCCTTTAATTAATCTTACCGTCGATCATTGTTCGTTCGAAGCGGAGAAAGCGTAGTCCGTTTTAAGATCCTTAAGCGTCGCGCGTCGAAGCAAAGTAGATAAAAAAAAAGATATACTCACGCGAATACGGCGTGCGTAATCTCCTGAAGGAACGATCCGTTGCCAATCTGGTGTCGACTTCTTGTCGCCGCGTTGCAGATCGCCTTAAGGACGCAGGACCTCCCGTCGTTGCCCTGACTTCGTAACAGGATACGCAGTTTAAAGCTAGCTAATACCAAAGGACTCTCGGATCGTTTGTCATTATCGTCCTCGTTATCGTCGTCTGGCTGTCTGTGAGTCGGCGGTCTATTCATTAAGTTCGCGATAATACCGAGCCGGGACAGAGCGGGGGTACGAAGTGGTTCGGTGTAAACCGGTGAACCTTTACAAGCACCCACTCCGCCCTTTTCAGCTAACTCCGCCCCAAAACCGTTGCCGGTTACCCCGGAAGCAAATACTGGCAATTATAGAGCACGGTGCTGCGCTATTAGGATTGGAATAATGCGGTTCTCGTGTCTACTCGCGACACTGCCAGCAATCTTGGGATCGTGTTTACCCTTTTAGTTACCTAACGCGTATGTACACGGTCACGTGTATCCCTTAGCATCTGCAGATCACGTACGCGTACGCTCAAACTCCTCGATGCGCTGCAATTTACTTATATCGTTTGTTTCGTCCGCTAGAACATCGTTCGATGCTTTTTCGATCGACGCTTTGTTCTTTATGAACTCGTGTTGCGCGCTAATCGGGTTGTTACCGTGATGAAAGTTATTTTTTATCGTTGCTGGAACAGCATAAAATAATGTCAAAGTTACGAGTCGAAGGTACGAGAAATCGATTTGGAGGCTATCCGGGGAAGTAAATGAAACGGGCATAAATATAAGAATTAATCTTGAATGCCATTTGTCGGGGGGCGCGCGAATTCCGATGCAGCAATTTGACAAATGGCTACCAATATCGGGCAATCGAAGATATTTATGCAAACGGCTACGCGACACGTGAGGGGTTGGGTGTTTTAATCGATCGATAATGCTTCCTTTCGAGTAATGCACCCCTTTCGTTCATCGAGATAAATCCCTCTCGTTTGTCAATACTCGACCGGTCTTGGCTGGGCTTCTTGCGCGGTTCAACCCCTTCTCTGCGAAGCCGTATATACGTGTTCGAAAAACTAACTAATCTGTACGCGGAAACAAGCGCCGAACTACGTTTTTATCCAGGCACTTCCTTTAAACGAACGATTTAAAAAATTATTCAGATCTTTTCGTTAAATCCTTCAAGGGCTCTTTCTGACTTTGTTTTGGAAAAGTTTTCAAAGTATCGGAGGCTCCTTTTTATCCTGATTGATCCTCGAACGCAAAGAAATTGTATAGCAAACTCGCGAGGATTTTCCGCGTATCAAAGAGCGTTGCAAGAAACCGAATCGCTTTCCAGGTAATCCTTAATGCTCAAAGATTTCTGCAACCCTATCGAACATCGAGTGGCAGTAATGCGACGCTTCCGAGACTAATTTCGTTCGTTAAACGAACGATCGGTATACCGTTCGATTTATTTCAATGAAATTCCGTCAATCGAGGGTTCTCGATCCCTCGTCCATAATCGCTCCGGCGAAGAACCATTATTTAAGGGTGAAACAAAGCGAGCCACATTCTTCAGGAGGGCCCATTCGTTCGTTCGTCAACATCTCGAGGCTCGCTTTATCGTTAACGCGATTCAGAGCGCACAATCGGTGCCGAATCCACGAAAAGCTCAACCCTTTCACCGGCATCGACAGAAACGAGCGACGAAAGCTTTGCTTGGCCGGCGAGCTTTGTTTCTTTCATCGGTTTCTTCTGTGCGTCGCTCATAAGGGACGATGAAAAAGAGAGAGAGAGAGGCAAAGCTTTGAGATTGAAAAGCGGTTCTATCAGTGGCGTTTCGTGATCGCCTTCCATTTTCACAACGGAGGTCAACGTTTGTTCACGTTCGTGACGTGGATTGAAGGGATAAGGGGTGTTGAGAGCCACTTAAGCCTCCTCATGCTTCTCATTGTCGTTTTCGACGATTATCCAACGAGAAACGGACAAGTGGCCACGAAGAAGGCCGCTCTATCGACGGTTGAAAATTCGAGACCGCTCGTTGTTTTCCATTCGGAGCGAAGAAAATGCCCGAAAATCAACTCTTCGCGAGACCGGAACAATGCAGCGAGCTCTTGGGATCGTGAGCTTGTTTATACCCATTTGTTTATAAGTTGCAGGAAAATAGGTCAGCAAACTTCGCTCCTTGCGACTCGAAATTTACGACCAAGATAATTCGAAGCTCTTCACTTATGCCATTACGAGCATCGGCAAGTAATATTAAGTTACAGCTTTTCACAGGATCGATACAGTTTGACGACGTCACGAGATAGGGCTTGCGACGTCTCAATTTGAAGCTCGAAGTTTGACGAAAATGGCTAGGTAAACGGTTCACCGGTATTATTGATACAAACCGGCCGGTTCTTCGTTGAAATTCATAGAGAAACCTTGAAGAATATTCGTTGCCGCGAACCGAGAGCAATTTAATCGCGTTTTCGACGTCTTTCATAGCAGGATGTAGTTAAAGATTTAATTTCAACGGAAATGGTACATTTTGGAGGAGAACACGATATCTGAATTGCCATCTAAGTGACCGCGTCTCGCGTAAAGGCGCATCGAATCTGTGCCAGCTAACTTCGTTAAAGGACCCTTGTCGTTCCCCTTACAGTCTCTTCAGAATTTCTATCGCGTTCAAAATGAAACGAACAAGAATTTGAAAAACAACAAGATAAAATATTCTTCCAGCCTTAGAAACTCGGTTATTTAATATTAACGACAATAAGATTTCATCCATTTTCAATACGCTATTTACCTATTTTATTTTCCGAGCACGCAATTCTTTTCAATTCCGAATCCCCTCGCTATCCCTTAATCCCTCCGGTTTCTCCCCAGAAAAACCCGCGTCAGAATCTCGCTATTTTAATCGTTAACACGTTTTCACGATTCGACCAAGAAAAGTGGTCATAGATTTCGAGTACAAAGATCTAGAAACGGTTTTATCGACAATCACCGTGATCCCTTTGATCCCTTCCTGGCAAGAATCGCGCGATGATTCGAGTTTTATTCGAAAGGATGCGATGAAACCTTCCCCCCGTTGTCGGGGATTTTTCATCGCGCAAAAAAGGACAGGCTTTTTCGAGAAGGTACCTTAAGGTAAATGCTCAAAGAACTTTCCTTTTGCAAGAGCCTTTTCAAACTCACCTTCCTAGCAGCAGCTCCACTTTGCGATACAACTCTCTTCTGCTTCGACGATGATAATCCCCGAACTTGTTCGACAGCATGCTCTTCGAAGGCAACTGCCATGCCTGACCCGCGGTAACTCCTAAGCTGAGCGAGCCGGAAGGCCTCGCGTAGCTGTTTATGGTCATGCAGTATACCAGCTGCACGCGTGATCGATCGTTTTATAGTTACTCGTAGGACTACGTAGTTAAAGCGAAAAAAATCTACCTGAACATTGCTTCCCTCAGGAAATACCAGATATTTCGTCTCGAATTCCCTTTTGGTCCGACCGATGCTATGATTCGTGGAAACTGCCAGGTCAAATAGACAGAGAAATCTGATCAACAGGATGGCGAACGACAGATTCATCGTCGAGGTTCCGTTATAGTTCGCGAATTACGTTGGACAACGTAGGTGGATCGGTCAAGCCGGTTCGCTCGGACAGAGACGATAAGTGACTGAAACTGGTGAATGATATAATGACAGGCAATGGTGGTTAGAACGTTCTCCTGGACCGTTTAGCGAGCAGTTTAAGGCGGGGTCGTTAAGTCGCCTTAAATTAGCCGTTAAAATCTGCCAGGACAATTGTGCCCGCTTTTTAGCTGTCCATTTTTCTTGCCTCAGAAATTGTTGCGTTTTATAGCGATCGAGCACGCTGTCGTTATCGCAGCGAAACTTCCAAACACTGCCCAAGAAATTCTATTTCTTCCTCGATTACTTTATCTCTCGCCATTTATTTTCGGTTGCTTGTAAAGGGTGAAAAGTTCTTTAGTCGTATAATCTGGGAAAAGGCGAAGCGTGAAAATAATGATTACGGCGGAAAATGTTAAGAAACGTCGATCGTGCAGGAACGAACAAAAAGGAGGCGAGGGAAAAATTTATTATCGCCGGTGAAAATCCGCAGTTCCGTTTCAGCAGCGACGAACGTTCGCAATTATATTTTCGACCGTCGAGTCCAGCGGATAAAATTTCACGAGCTGAATGGGGACCGTTTCCCATCGTTCTAATTACTCGTCGAGCACGGAGCGATGATCCGCGATCTTTCCAGCATTTTCTATTAATTCTCGTTGCGGATCGTATCGCGGTAATTCGCGCGATTCAACACCGGTTCGTTGACACTCCGTGGCCCAGGGCATCCTTCGCTTTACTATTTATGTGGCCAGACCTGACGACAACCGTTTGCGTCATTTATTCAACCTGTCTGCTTTTTTCGACGCTGTACGATATAAACCGACAAAAGAATATTATTTATTAAACTGATCAATTCGCGTTATCGTCGCGACAGTTAGGAGTGTAACTCGCGAAGGTGCACCGCGTAGCTGTACAACGCGAGAGTTAATGAAAACGTCCTTAAAATTCAATTTCGTGGACTTCAAAGCGGTCCTTTCAGGTTACCGTGCTCCCGGTCTTCATTCATTTATACAAAAACGATTGGGCCGACGTAATTTCGCGAAGTCCCTGTTCTCGTTTAAAATGCAGCGACCCGTTTAATTAAGACCGATCGGCCAACATCGAGCAAAACTAGCTTTCGTCTTGGACATCGAATAAATCACTCGTTGGTTCCTCGACGAACTTGCCGGCCATGTTCCGTACCGTAAAGGGAATGAAAAAGCAGCAACATCGAGGGGATAGGAGGGCTACGAAGTCAAATTGCCCCGTAGATGAGAACCACGAAAATGGTCAGGATTCCTCGAGATTGGATAATGCAGGGACGTCGTCGTTGAATATATTCCCGGAGATTTGCGAAATTTAGGGACACCCTGATCCTGCATAGCGCACACGGCTTCGGGATGGAGACGGGTTCCTTCGTTCAGGAATTCTTCAGAACCAGCTGGAACGCGAATTTGAAATTCCGTCACGACGAGAACCGCCGGTCGAAGGATACGGAATCGTTTACGATACACGGCCTGCTTAACGCAACATTTCCCAGAACAACTTTTCCTCTAAAAATGTTAAGAGCTTCAGGGTACGATCGAATACTTTCAGCAATTGACACGAGACAGTACGCCTAAACACCCACGCAACGTTCGAATCGAATAATTGCACGCGACGTTGTGATTTATAGGCAGACTGTCCGATCAACGACGTAGGATGAAAACACTGGTTCATTCTTGACCGTGTCAACAGCCATCTCCTTCCATCTCGTCCGTGTACTATTCGGAACCTGGACAAATATAATCGCACGATCAGCGTAGTGGCCAAGAATAGTCCGGCAGGTTCGATAACTGGAAGGTCAAACACGCGTGGCCGTTCGAGACGTATTCAAAGGAAAACAACGAGCTACGGCAGTCGGCGAGAAACGCGTAAACGAACACGGCCGTTCCGATCAGCTTAGTAACCGCGAAAGATGTTCCCTGCTACGCCGAACAGCGAGTTTCCGAGCCAGCTCCTCCCAGGAGAGGTCTGAGCTTCTCCGCAACCGCGAAACGGCTGATTTCAGCCGGTAATTCCGAGAAATGAGAGCCCCGTGGCTCGTCCTGATTCTCGCCAAGATCCTGGACCTGATGCTGGTCCTCGGGGACACCGTGTGTCACCATAATGACACGGATTTCGCCGTTCCTAGTCAAAGGTCCACGGAGATTCTGTCCAGACGTAGACGTCTCGTTTTTCCAACGGGCAGCACGTTCGTGGTAAGTGTCGACGATTTCAACGGGGAGTCATGTGGCGTTTTGCGACGGAATACCAAACGAATCCTTGGGAACGCCGCGTGGTGACGATCGTTACAGGATGGAAGACGAAAGTAGTCTTTGGTATAAATGATCGTGTGGTGCAATTTTTGTAGCTTACGGTGTCCATACTGCAACCGATTCCCGTCAAACTACCCAACAACTGGAATCTCGATTTCGAGTTTGACATGATCTGGCCGATCCCGGTCACTCGAGAGAAAGTAGCTGCCAAGAGAAAGTATTTCGTCAAAAGGCCATGGACTGTGAAACGAAGACATCGACGAGACCTCTACGCTAATCTCGAGGCTGCTTTCGATAGGTATACTTTGATGGAATGTTTCTGGAAATCCTCGTGGAGCAGAGCGTGAAAAAACAATTTGTTTCAGCCAGAAATTGCCGGGACGACAATGCGTTTTGAGGACTATCTGCGAGGCGAACTTACTGTTGAGCCCTCCGGGCGTGTCTTTTATCGAAGACGCTATACGATTGATTTTGAGGTATCTAAAGTACATAGAGAATCTCTTGTTTGTCGATTTATCGAACGTTTGATGTTTGTTTCAGCAACGTCGAGGACGTGGAAGACGTAGATTCGTACGACATCGCGTACAGGAGCGAGGTTCCATGCGACGTCGCTTACGCTTGCCCCTTTTCTTTCTTAAAATTATTGTTATACCACTTGTATTCGGACAGTTTGAGCTGACAATAAAGGTCTTTTCTTACGGAGGTTTATTTGTCTTCGATACCAAGCCATAGCTTTAATTGGGAATTTCAGAATTCGAGAAGTCTAACTTTTTTCCTTTCGAAATCGGACAGCGACGAGTCACGCTTCTAATTAATTACACGTAACCCGGAGCTTCTTCGGGATGTAAAAACACGTCCCTGGGAAGATAATCGGAAGCCGATAGACGCGACGAACGAGCCATCCGGTCGGGTTATCCCGTTTCTCATAAATTTCCATCTCGTCATCGAATAAGTTGAAAGCCCCGAAGGCGCAAACATCATACGCGAAGAGGTGGCTAAAGTGGATAAGCGGTTAATACATATTCGAAACGCGCAGCATATCCAACCAACATGAACTGGTTAAGCGGTTGCGATGCGACGCCACGCGACGTCGCGACGCACGTGTCGTGCTCCAGCTGTCTGTGACGAGCTGCTACCTGCTGACGTGCTGCGTGACGATGCAATTGACACGCGTGGCTGCGATTATTGGCCCGAACTAGCTTTCACCGATCCTCCAGGATACACCTTGCTCTAAAACGCGAGAGGAGCAGCTTGACACTCGAGAGCGAACCTCCAATGATTCGATGAAGGGACGTTATAGGTTTGGACCTCTTTACAGCCTCTCGAATATTACAATCGAAAATCATAGTTGCCGGACAAGCTGTCCGCTTCAAAATAGCTCTCCCCGTAATTGGCACTTCATTTAACGAAGTTCAGAGAATGAATCGATTCGAGTATCTATCACGGTGCAAGTCGAACTTTATCGAAGTTCATCCTCCAGCTTTTAATCGATCTCCAGAGAAATTTGTCCTACACGAAGCAGCTAATTTCTCTCAACGTATCTTTCTAATTTTTCTCAAGCTGTTCCTTAAAGTCCTTCCATTGTCTTTCAGGGAAACTTCCAAACGAGTCCCGACGGGCTTTTTCCCGGAGACACGACCCAATTTTCCGTGGTGCGACTTCGAGACTCTTCGGTATCGACAGTTCCTAGAATCAAGCCATCTGCTACGTTTATTTTTTCCCGCCTCTTAAAAGTCGAACAGATCTCGTCGGATCAACGCTCTCGATATCGGAACGCTCAATATTGTCGAATTGGTCCGAATTTAATAACGGGCACCGTTATGTTTGATGTCGTCGTTGGGACGTTCCTGTAAAGTCGAGCAAAGCGTCGATCTAATTTTCACGCCTGTTCAACGAGATTCTTTATAGTTACTACGATTATTGCTTATCAAAACAACTACCGAGACGGACGAATTGTAATATACACAGAGGATGCGACAGAAATTAGAGGGACGTGCAAACTGATCCTCATAAAGTGTTAACGAGCAGCTGTACAAGGTGTTCGTAATAACTTGTGTCAAACTTAGTTATTATATGCTCATTAAGTAGAACAAGAAGCTGACCCAGGATATACCAGGGTTCTCCGAGTGAGAAATGAACGTCCTAATACAGATAACAGGTTTAAACGTTCTGGAAAAGTAAAAAATGGAGCTGTTACTTCCTACATCTCTCGTTACGCTTTCGTTTGCGATTACTTTTCAGTTCATTCGCGTAACTAGGTAATTTCTCAATCAGCAAATACGCAAATCCTCGATTCTCGGATTATCGGATTCGAGAATCTGAAAGTTCGCGATTTAAAAAAGTGCTTGACGCGTATTTTATGGAAAGAAGCCTCTGTCCTTGGTGGGTCCGAAAGGAAAACTTTACCGCGTATAATACGTTCGTAAGATGTCAACCACAGCGCTAGCGGTGGCAGCAATTAGCACGCTGGCTCCTTACGGTCGTTCGACCGTCGGCCTGTTAATTGTTTGTCAAATAAGGCGCGAAGGAACGCGGCTCGCGTTAATGAACTTGACAATGGCTGGTCTGCTCTCGAAATGCAATAATAACGGTCGTTTGACATTGGCCCGAGTGTCATTCGTCGTGAAGACATCATCGAGAAGCAACTAGACACCGGTGAGTAAACTAATTTCCATAAATTCCGACAGAAACCTCGCTGGTTTTTGTATTTCATCTTACATCATCCGCGTTGTTCGCGAAACAGGAAGTGGGAATTTTATGCGTGTTCAATTTCGCGGCTTCGTTAGCTCAGTTTCGACAAGTCTTAAGCGGTGAATCTTCGGACACAAAGTTTGTTCGGAATATTAAAAAGCAGGTTCTTCGTTATCTGGAACCCAACCGATTTTAGTACTCCTAGATAATTCTCCGAGACATTCTGCTATGGTATTCAAATGGCGTTACCTTTGATTAAAAGCTGTTTCTTGGGTTTTAATAAACGCTTTTATAAGAAGTGAAAGTTTAACCTAACAGGTTAGTATATCATCGACGTATTAAGTCGGTAAAAATAGATGGAAAAACGTGAGTTAACTGAAAGGCAACATGCAACGGAACTAGATATAATCGAGAGTGCAAGTGGAAGTATCGGGTGTTGTTGAAAAGTTGGAGCAATTGTAAAGAAGAAACGAAAAGGGGAAGGAAATCCGGCGATGTAATCAACGGTAGAGGTATCGTTATCAATCCCGTCGTTTCCCAAGTAGGCCTCGTAAATTGAATTGGACGAATGAGCCACGGAATTGTCGCAATATCATATTTCTTGGAGCCTTAACGATCGGGTATCTCGTCGGGGACGGACAAGGAAAAAAGAAAGGAGAGCAGGCCGAGTAGTCCTGGTCGGCACAGGGTAATATGCTTTCCCGATAAGTGAGATCACGTCGTTGCCATCGTTCATCGCCGAAAGCCCCATTGGAAGCATGGTTCCCGTGTTTTCTCCGGTATCGCCGTCACCTATCGATCATTTCCTCCGCCCGTTGCTTCCACGGCCGACTAACAACTTCCTGTTTCCTAAAGAGTTTACCGAACTGAGTTACAAGATACTTCCACCGACGAAGGATCGATCTTCCTTGTTTCGAGCGAGTTTTCTTTCTTATTTTTTTACCCACGCTTTTCGACTCTTTGCCTTTTCTTCTCCTTCGCGCCCACGACAAAGTTTTTCCTATCTTTACGCATTGTTGTCGAGAAGAGTACGTTACTCGTATTTTGCAGCATCCTGTATCGTTTATTGGTTCGTTTAGCCACATTTCGTCTGGCTCTTTCCCGCAATTTTTGACGGATCGCCGCGACGATTTCCGAAATTGTTTCGGCCCTTGAAATATGGTTCGGTTCCTCGTTGAAACGAACGGACGATCGATACACGCGGTCCTAGTGTGTGCACACCCGCTGGAGTCACGTCTCCAATAAGCCGGCATCAAAGCAGCAAGTTGACGTTCAACCTGCAAGACGGTGAACAGCTCAGACATTTCTGTCGTCCAAGCTTTCCTACCCAGAACCGTACACGCCATCCGACCGAATCGGGACGAGCTCGTCGTTGATTATGATAAATCTTATCCGATAGCGAACCACCTTTATTCAACCCGACGGCTGTTTCGCGCGATCGATGAAACGTCTTGTCGCCTTTCGACCAGATTTTCAGACGCTTCTCGTCGCTTCGGAATCCTCGAGCTTCCTTCCTCCAAATTCCGATCGCATATCAAGTTTTGCTCTCTAAGCTCTTATTCTCGTATCAGTATTTCGACTATCGCGGTTTAATCGTAACGTACAATTTGATGTTTTTCCAAAGCGCTGTTCGCTGCAATCGTGTGTAGCTTCCTCGCGAAAGCGGTCGAGAGTAAATCGTTTGTAGATTATTTATCTTCGAGTTACAGAATCAATACGGCGCTTCAAAGTTTCATAAAGTATTCCATATGTAGAAGTACAAGAGACGGTTATATTCCGATGCATCGTTAGAACATCGGAATATTATCTGGCCGGAGTCGCAGGAACAAGCTGTGCAGGATTTACAGCCCATTCGAAATCGTCAATATTTGCCAACCCTTACTTGCCTCGAGTCGAGAAACATTTTTCCAGAGCGTGGAATCACGTCTGCCGTGTTCCGGATACGCGAGGCTACATCAGACAGGAACGAACGAGGGTGAAAAGTAGTTGAGAAATTTCAATCGCTTGTGTTGACTCGTCTAATAGATTCCCGAGGTGCTGGCAAACGGGAGCACTGTTCTGATTCGATCACAGACAGGGAATTTCATTTCGATCGCGACACGTTCATCAGCCTCGTCCAAATTTAAATCGCGGCACACGCGTGATTGGATTTTCTTATTTAACTCGTTAACCGTGTGTCATCTCGTTCGATAAGATACCCGATTCGTAAAAAAGAAACTGGTAACGGTTCAGCTAAATAGAAGCATGTCCCGGTGGCAAGCGAAGGTACGATTTTCCCTAACGCATTTTCTCGTACACTCGCGCACGAGTTTCCACGCACGGCAAACAATTTTTCCACGTGAAATAATCGCGGCAACTGACGCCGGAAAATTGACGTTCGTCTGACAAGGCGAAAAGCGGTGGCACGAACACCCTCGAGGTATTCGACAATATCCTTTTCCCCAACGACAAAGGCGAAATTCCTCCGAAAGGAGCGCGGGTAAAGACGACGGATAATCGGAAAGAAAAGCGACGCGAGTGGAAAGGAAAAGTAGACTCAAAAGTACAAGTTGCAACGAAATTGGTTGTACAATCCGAAATCAACTGTTTTCGCTTTGTTCTTGTCGAAACAAACTCTCTGTTAAAGATTTCTGTATGTTCGAATATTTGGGAATTAAACAGAAGGCAGTCTCGACGCGTAGTCGAGCGACAGGTTCATCGATTTGATCGGTACGAGTTAATCTCCGCTCATCGTTCAAGATTATTTCGAGATCCTGTTCCAGCAATCTCGACTTAACTCCTCCACTCGTGGAGAATTCCACCGCCGCGTGTCAGAGCTTACCACGTTCCTCGTGGTCGCGAGAGCAGCCGGTTTTATCAACGTACTCGACGCCTCTTTTATTTCAACCGAGTCGTCGAACAATTTCTCAACGGATTATACCAAGATTTGCTGGCAGAAAGTTGGGTAATTCCTTTACAACTCGCCACCGACCAAGTTTCCGTGCCTGTTGACCAAACCGTCCGCGGTAGGACAAATAAAATAATTCTTTGTCGTTCGGGAAAAAAGTCCTCTGGTTCGTTGCTGGGAAAATTGCTCGTTCGTCGTTTCAAGCTCGGATTAATGAGATGTCCTTCGAAGAAAAGCCGGGTTACTTCTTTCTTTCTCTATCCCTCTGTCTTCGTGTTTAACGGCTGTCTCGATTCTACGAAGACTGAAATGCGCTTGCCTCGAAAACGGGGCAAGTTATTTAATTTTCGTTCAACGACTGATGCACGCAAGACAGAAATTGCTTTATCGCGATCTCGTAGTTTGCTCGATGGCAATTGAAACGAGAGGACGGGAAACGAGGATACGTCTCGTATAAAATTTCCCCTTGTTTTTTAGGCTCGAGGAAGTATAAATGAGACTAACGCGTTATGAAACGTCAGAATTTTTAAACGCTGTTTCGGTCGTTTGTCGAAGCAACTTCCTCCTCTATATCGACAAATATTTAGAGGGAACGTAACGCGTTGCGAACGGGGTTAATTAAACTTCGCGTACAAGTAACTTTATCCCTGACTCGAATAACGTTTTCCGAATACGTTAAAGTTACAATGTAACAAAGCAAAGTCTTCGTTAGTTCGGCGGAGAATCTGTCTAACGTTTGATCTCGCCACGGTATAACAGCGGCGAAAGAATGAAAGTTCCCAGGAGTTCGTTGCTTCGAGGAACGTTTCGAATTTTCGATAATAACTTTTCCTCTCCTTTTCAGCGCAACGATATGAATCGAATCGGAGGTTACACTCTGCTTTTAATATTGTGCATTCTGGCAAGCGATTATCGAGTCAGTTCGGACGAAAACACTCGTTTGTCGAGGAGAAAGCGATACGTCGTTTTTCCCGAAGGTTCTACCTTTTCCGTAAGTGAAATTTCTTCCCCTACCGTCAAACTTTGTATCAATAATTCGTCCTACTTTACAGATCGCCCTTTGTCTAACGGTGAACACTTTGTCGTCGGATGACATTTTCGCGGAGGGTGTGAACTGGGGTATCGCGTACGATTTACCCAACGAAAGTAAACCGGCGCTCGAGCCGTTTTTACAGCTTAGACACGACCAAATTAAACCGGCCAGCAAATACGACAACTACGCGAACGTTTCGCCGAACAAAAACGCCGTCAAGTATCCGCAATGGAACACCAACGAGAAATATTACTTCAAACCTGGAAAAAGGAAATACTACAAGCCCGACTATTATTATCTGCAACGAAGGCATCGTAGAGATCTCTATAACAAGCTGGAAGTCATCATGAACGCGTAAGTTCTCATTATTCGAAGCTATCGTCCGAAAGCTCTGCAGATAAATTAGTCGTTTCGGTATTAACGTTTAACGCGTTAAACGAAAGGGTTCGCGAAGAAGACGCATAACCCGACCGGTCGAATCGTGTAGAACTCAAACAGAAAAACGGACAAAGGTCTGTTGACAATGAAGTAGAATAGACACGGCGCTGCTCAGACAAGTAGAACTAGTACCAACATCGATTTAGTCGGGTAAAACGACGGAACGTGTGAACGAACAAAGCGGAACTACGCGTCGCCAACAAGCGAAATGATCCTCTGCATGGTCAGGCAACTTGCGCTTCTTTTGTCACTGTTAACTTTATCTCTTTTATTCGCGTTATTGCTTTTGTGTCTACGGCCGCGTGCAATCTACGTTGCACGATAAAAAAAACGTAGAAAACCGTCTCGTATTTTTGCGTAAAAAAGAAAAGAAATATAGATAGCCGACGATGTTAGCTGGATCAAAAGAGCGTTGGTTCTCGAAGTCTTAAAATCGTACGGACGAATAAATTTTTGCGGAGCGCGTCAGACCGAGTGGCATGCCGGATAATAAAATGTAACAGCGGCTTTAGTAGTATGGACGTGATCGAACGATCGTCGTTCGCGTTTATGGAGAGCCGTCGAACCGTCTCAGTTTTTTTCCGTGTCATCTACGCTGATGTATTTCGGCCGCGTTTCTGCGAAACCGACCGTGACAAGATCAAGAATAGACGAAGGAATATTGATTATGACCATCTTGATCCTGCTGCATTCGACAGAGGGAAAGCTTCAAGAAACGCCCGATCGGATTAATAACCCTGATCTCGATTCTAAATCTAAACCGCTGTAGCGGAAGAAAATTGAATTTTTAATTAAAGGCAATAATGGAAAACATTCAGTGCGAAGTAACGCGGCAAAACTAATGTTCCACGTACTATTTGCATGCGTCCAATATTATATCTGATGATCGGCCGAGGAAAATAATCAAGCCCCTCGGCGGTGGGATATAAATCTGGTTATGGACAAAGCGCACAAAAGAGAGAGAGAGGGTAAACTATTTCCCTCATGGCTGTTGGCCCCAGAAACAGATAAATGGTCTGCCAGGCTCGTTCAGAAACAACCCCGACCCAGCTACCGACTGCTACCCCACCATTCAACCAACGTTCCACGCTGCTTGAGGCGCCACCCTCTGATTCATACCACCCTTAAGCAGCTCCAACACCACCAACTGTTTCCTTGCAAGATTCCTCGACACGATCCTCATCCTACCTCTGGAATCAATTTTTGCGCGTTGGAAAATGTTCTTATTATTTGCGGCTACATGCTTATAGAGCCTCTGCTTTTATTTATGGAAGGCTGTTTGAAAAAAAGAGATCGTTATAAACGAGCTTCGACCCGAACATATTTTACTCGGATAGATTATTTTCTATCTACATTGTTTATTTATGCAACGTAGGAAATTGATGACCGCGGAGAGAATGCAAAGCGGATTAAAAGTTATGCTGTTCGAAATGATCGAAAGAAAGAAATTGTAAGAGGGTTGTTTGCGCGATCTTACGGTTCTAGCATTAATTTTGTTCAGCTTCTTCGGATCCACTTTTCCGAATTAATAGCTGGCATTTATCCGGATTGGCGATCGCAAAACGTGACCTTATTTCATGGGGTCATGCGTTCTCCTCCTTGTTATCCACTCCTTCTATTCTCCTTTCGCCAAGCAAATATTATGTTTTTCTATAAAAGTCCAAGCCAACGTGGAATAATATTTCGTGGGTAAACTCTGTATTCTTTGTTCGAAATTGATATTTGGAAGACTAACAAGGGATGTTACGAAGTTGACAAACCCAAGCTTTTAAGCAAATAAATCTTACAATAGCGAACTTACCAATCGGAAATACGCAACTTGCGAACTCGAACTTTTTTAAGGTACAGAGATATTGGTGAAATATGGTTTCCAACCCCAATTTCAAGCTCCATTTTCACCCCTTCAGAGCGGAGAATAGCTGATAAAAAGAAAATATACGTGAAATATTCTTTCCAAATATTATAGTATGCCAGAAATCTATCCGAACCGACTACGTAACATTTGTTTGCTTAATATTAATAGCAGGGTCGTCGCTAATTTTTTTTCATATCCCGAACATCGGTGCCGTAGCTTTTATTTTTTTAATAAACGATAACAATTTTCAAGATCGATCACGTGACTTGTTCGGAGCCACTCAAATCAAGGGTGAAATTATTGGGGAGAGAAACGAATTTTTCAAACGCCGCTTCAAAGGAAACTTTAATCTTCCACGAAGGAGGGTCGGTCAGATGAGAAAACATTACTACCACCCTCTTTCATCGTTCTTTACGTGCAACGAGATGCTTGTTCAGCGGCGAAAGGATACATTAATACACGATTTCGAGTATTTTTTCCTTTTCGTCTCGCATTAAACGTGATTAAACTTTATTTCGACCCCATATATTTCTGTACGATTTCGCGCAGGGTCGAACAACGACAATTTCAGCCTCGATTAGAATTTATTTCTTTCGCTTAATCCCGTTCGTTATTTCAGGATGAATTTCGACGGCAGAGCCTGCATACTTCGAGCGCTATGCGAGGCCTCGCAGCGTCTGATGCCGAAGGGGAACACTCTCATCGAGGAGATGATGAGGATATCGTTTGCGTAAGATTCGCACGTTGGATCGCGACGAAGGGGTTCCTTTCGAGAACGAGCTTTGCCCTAGAAATCGATGGGATTTCGGAATAATCTTATTTCAACGGAGATAGGGGATAGGTGGAGCGTCGAAAGCGAATTTTATTAAGCGAATAAAGTTAAAAGGATGACCTTCCAGGATATTTTGCTGTACACCGCGTAAACTTCGTTTCGTACCGTCTCGGTTCTTTATGCGCGAAATTTTATCGAGCTTGACGGACTCCGACAGCTTCCCTCCTTGCATCGTAAACTTTACGCCGACGACGAAGCAGCCATCGGAGCGTAGTAATATTTCACGCGAATTTTCGATTAACGTTCCTCGAATTGCACAAATTGAATCGGGAAAATCGAGCCACCCGTGTGTACACGGCAGACCCTCGTTATTTCGTTACACGCCATTCTCGACGAGTCCTTTCGAGCTGATAGAATCGCCGTGTCCCAGGTGTGACCACTGGTCGCGATAATTGGCAAAAACCGGTCGATTGCTTTTTCAACCCCTTCGACGCGACCAACTGCTACTTCCCTTCAGCGTCAGAGAGAAGGCAGTTTCTGATTCCACCTCCCTCGATTGTTACAGTTTCCCATTGAAACGGCTGTTCTCCGGCGAGCCCGAGGAGCACCACGCGTACAGCAAGGCGCACAAGGCGGGCCACGAAGGTCAGGACTGTGCCAGCATGTTTTCTGGATGCAGTTTTTCCTTGATCGATATGGCGCTCGGAAAATACGACGCGTCCCGATCGCGGGAACACTCGCTTCCGTCCGACTATGCGGATGCCACTCCGTTTTCCGGCGACCGAATCAGGTACAACATGAAATAAGAACTCGCGATGGAAGAACCAGTATTTCGGACGAATCCGAGAGTCTGATCAATTTATCGAGAGATCTTTCGGATAGAAGATTAGCCGGTGGTCAAGATCGAGTCGATACTTGGAATCGAAGAGCAGGAAAAAGCAAGTAGGAGAAACGTGGGCTTCGAAAGCGAAAAGAGTCGCTGCGAGTTACTCGAGGTACTCTTAAAAACGGAGATATCCATAAGATAGTAGCGCAGACTGCTACATTTTCGGTAATTGGATGAGCTTACTTATCGAAACGGGTAGAGAGGGTTGAACATGAAATAAGCGGCGGCAGGAGGGCTCGGATAAGGGTTTCCGGAGATACGAGGTTGCCGTGGCATCCGCCAGTTCACCGCCTCGGCGATAATAACGATTCTTTGTAATATTGTTGCACCAGACGCCAGTATATTCGACGTAATAGGATTAGGTCGCGCGTCGGAGCGAACATTATCCGAAATCGGGAAAACTGTTTCGAACAGGCGACTGCAGACGTTCCGTGAGAATAAGTCGGCTTTAGTCGCGTCGCGCGGTTTCTACATTTGCATGATCGTCGACCTTCTGCTGTATTATGCATCTCGATGCAACCGAATAACGGATCCGGTGTCGGTAAACGAGAATTACAAGCATAAACAAAGATCTCGATAAGTAACTCGTTCGATTTACCCAAAATACGTCTAACGATTATAAAACGAAGTTAGTCCTTTAACTGGATCAGTAGTTTCTACGGAGTTTGTTTTTGCTCGCTAAACGAGTAGAATGGCCCTGAATGCGATCAGGCATATTGCGTTGAAAGTTCGTAAAGTAAGCATCCGTCTACGGACGAGAAACGAGCCGGAACGGGACTCGTGTATAGTCAAACAAGTTACATCGGACTCCATACGTAATAAGCGAAGTAGAATGACTGCGAGTTGTGTGTACTTTACGTAATACCGAGCCTGTAAATAGCCGCGCGGGTAGAATATCGTTTCCGTGTAGCCGGATAAGTAGAATAAGTCGACGATGCGATCAGACAAAGAGTATTAGGTACATATGTACATACATGTATCGTCAGGAGAGCAATTTCCTGTCCTCGAACGTTATCGAATGCCTCTTGTAAATAATATCTCGAGTACATATCGACAATTTGATGGTCTCGCGAGTGGGTCACTACGGACCTATCGTTATTCCTTTCTTCCCTTTCATCGTTTAGGAACATGATTTCTTACTTCGAATAATTGGTATTTCCAATCGGAAAGATTGGAACGTAAATAAAGAAATGGAGAATTAAAATAAACGTTCGAACCGAAAAGCGATAAATAAGCTCGTTATCATCAATTGGTCGAATAAAATTCAGTAAGAGTGAACAGATATCGATTCGATGACAGTGACACCGCCCCAGTTCGCGGGCCAAGCAGGGCGTGGTATAGACCGCTTATAACAACCCTCTTTTTCCACGACACTACCGATTCCGTACGGTTAACCACAATTCCCTTCGGTGGAAAAAGAAAAAACCAAGAGCTACTCGTCGCTCCTTTTTTTCCTCTCGTCACGCTTTTCAACGACGACGGTCGCGCTGTATCCAGAGACGTCGGTTTTTATGCATAAGACGCTCCTTTCAAAAGCGTATTTTCCAAATTACCAGATTACTCGTCGTTACCTGAAAAGCAGTCGAACACAATGGCTCCATAATTTATACGTATCAGCCTTTGGCCCCGACACATTTAATTCGCTCGTTGGTACATTCGCCTTTTAAACTTTTTTTCTTTTTCCATTGGCAAAGAGTACCGGTGCTTTTTCAAAAAATATAAAAGAATTTTTCCCCGTTAGGATCGCCACACGTACATACCGCATTGAACCTAAGCGAAAGCAACGGTTCTAAAGCAATCTTTTTCGGTAGCAATATTTCGTTAATAAAATAAAAGCTGGAAGGTAAAAGAACGTTGCGATAAGGAAACGCATTATCCACTTTGAAATTAGAAAGATCGGTCGACTGGCTGTTTTAATATAAAGAATATTTCCGTTCGCGTTTCTGATCACCGATGGAGAAACTTTTGCGGAGAGACGGATTCTCATCGAATGCTGGTTCAAATCAGCTCCGTTAAAAAAAAGTTACGGACATAACTGGTTCCGTCGATGAAACTTCCAGGTGAAAAGTTCAACCACATAAAAGTGGCTACTGTATCGAGGTTCGCATCGACATCGAGACTTCTCGTCACGGATTCCCCTTACTGTCTCCACGAACACCAATCGAATTCTTCGTCTTCGATGTATCTCTCGTTCTAAATATTTCGTCGAGAATAAAAGTTACATCGTCGGCAAATACCTCGCGTGTTTTTTCCTCGGTCGCGCTATTCGCTCTTCGACAATATCCAGCGTGCATCTGTAGCAAGAACGCGACGCGAATGTTCGAAAACGCGTACATACTGCGCGAATCGTGCTCGCTAATATTCGATTATCCGCATTACGAACAATGGACAACGTGACTATCATACTCAGCCGGGATACGATTGTTTGAACATTCGAACATTACGAATTACGTTAAGCGGCTGAATGCAAACAACGCGGCTACGTTTCAGCAATATTTGCCGCTAAAATAATACCTCCGCATTCTGTTTTAAAAGAGAAAGACTACTCGTATAATCGGTAAAGAGTGAAATATTAAATTTTCGATAGAAATCCTTGTAGTTTCATCGTGTTTGCCAGATGAAACCGACGGAATTGAATTTTCTTTCAATCAGAAATCCTATCGCGGTGAACTTGATATTCAAATATTTGATATAATACAGGCATGCTCGTTCGAGATTAAGTCGAACCGCCGACCAAATTTAACTTTTCGGGTCTGTTTCGTTGGACAAACGACAAACACGAGATTATACGTGCTGGCGAAAAATAATAAAATATAGAGTATTGTTTGAAAGCTGGAGGAATTTGTAGAGAATTAAACGACACGATTAAAACACGTAACACGTAGCTACGGTTCTTGCCACTTTCCGCTTCATAAAGGATTAAACTGCTACGTCCATACTTGACTATTTTCTGCCGCTTAAGGTCCAAATTAAAAGGAAAGAAATTGCCTCGGGGGGTAGGGGTTGCTAACGTGCCAGGAATTAAAAGCGCGGTAAAGAGCGTTACACGTATTAAAAGTGATAATTAAGGAGCGGTCAGCAAAAAAACTGAGACAATGACAGTATCCGCAGGAATTTCATTTCTATCCCGCGAAACGCTAATGTTAGAACGCGATTAAAACGGTAATCGAATATCTTCCGTTTTAAAACAATTTCCAAAACCATAACGCTAGAATTTCCTCCGAAATTGCATTACTCCGCGTACACTTTAATCTCCGACAGATTTTATAGAGCGTATCGTTTAAAAAGAAGAGGAGAATAATTATCGAAGACGTATAAACGCGAACCAGCGTGGCGAAATAAATTGTTCAGCGAAGGAACGCGAAACAAAAAGACGTCTAATAAAACAATTTACCGGATCCTCGTCGTTTTTTCATTGTTTTTCCGCAAACAAAAGCAGCACACCATAGAAATCACCGGTCCCCAAACACACGGCCTGTATCCGTTGCAGCCGCTTAAGGGTTTAATAATCCGTCTCGACGAGGACAAAAGGGTTGGCTGCGTTATCATCCCGCCCCGTTTGATTATTCATTCACGCTTCGAGCCACGGCAAAGCTCGAATCCGCTTTTAACTCGCCTTGGACCGGCCTGGTGACTATCATACTCAGCCGGGATACGATTGTTTGAACATTCGAACATTACGAATTACGTTAAGCGGCTGAATGCAAACAACGCGGCTACGTTTCAGCAATATTTGCCGCTAAAATAATACCTCCGCATTCTGTTTTAAAAGAGAAAGACTACTCGTATAATCGGTAAAGAGTGAAATATTAAATTTTCGATAGAAATCCTTGTAGTTTCATCGTGTTTGCCAGATGAAACCGACGGAATTGAATTTTCTTTCAATCAGAAATCCTATCGCGGTGAACTTGATATTCAAATATTTGATATAATACAGGCATGCTCGTTCGAGATTAAGTCGAACCGCCGACCAAATTTAACTTTTCGGGTCTGTTTCGTTGGACAAACGACAAACACGAGATTATACGTGCTGGCGAAAAATAATAAAATATAGAGTATTGTTTGAAAGCTGGAGGAATTTGTAGAGAATTAAACGACACGATTAAAACACGTAACACGTAGCTACGGTTCTTGCCACTTTCCGCTTCATAAAGGATTAAACTGCTACGTCCATACTTGACTATTTTCTGCCGCTTAAGGTCCAAATTAAAAGGAAAGAAATTGCCTCGGGGGGTAGGGGTTGCTAACGTGCCAGGAATTAAAAGCGCGGTAAAGAGCGTTACACGTATTAAAAGTGATAATTAAGGAGCGGTCAGCAAAAAAACTGAGACAATGACAGTATCCGCAGGAATTTCATTTCTATCCCGCGAAACGCTAATGTTAGAACGCGATTAAAACGGTAATCGAATATCTTCCGTTTTAAAACAATTTCCAAAACCATAACGCTAGAATTTCCTCCGAAATTGCATTACTCCGCGTACACTTTAATCTCCGACAGATTTTATAGAGCGTATCGTTTAAAAAGAAGAGGAGAATAATTATCGAAGACGTATAAACGCGAACCAGCGTGGCGAAATAAATTGTTCAGCGAAGGAACGCGAAACAAAAAGACGTCTAATAAAACAATTTACCGGATCCTCGTCGTTTTTTCATTGTTTTTCCGCAAACAAAAGCAGCACACCATAGAAATCACCGGTCCCCAAACACACGGCCTGTATCCGTTGCAGCCGCTTAAGGGTTTAATAATCCGTCTCGACGAGGACAAAAGGGTTGGCTGCGTTATCATCCCGCCCCGTTTGATTATTCATTCACGCTTCGAGCCACGGCAAAGCTCGAATCCGCTTTTAACTCGCCTTGGACCGGCCTGCGAAACGCTCGTTGCGACGAGCCGGGGCTATTGATTCGGCCGCCACCGCTGCC